AACCTCCTGCAGCGTGCATTTTGCATCATCGAATTTGATTTTCTTAGCAAGAAGCCACAATGAATACTAGCATATAGTATGATGACGTCACGTGCATGCCATGCTAAACAGTTCAGCTTTCTGGTGAAATGTGATGTTCGCAACACTAGCAATAGATGTCCTACTTGTAAAGTTTTCCAGTATTTATTGCAGTCTCGCGATGATAGATGGCAGCCCAGAAAAATGTTAGAGCGCATGATTATTGAAGCACAGTGTTGTAAAGCGAGGGCCCAAAACAAGTGCAGGTAAAACCGAATGTAACATTAGCCTCGCGAGGTAGTATTTTGCGAAGTTTCGAGCTCATGCAAGCTGATGAAATGAGATTTATATTAAGATTTTTTTAGAATTTCATCGGTCCTTCGCGCTATTCGTGCAAAATTATTAATTTCATTGCGTGCACCTTTACGCATCTCTTTTTGCAGTAAGGCGTTCTGTAAGAGATTATTTAGGAAAATACCATTATTTTCTCTTTTTTTAACATTTCGAGTATTTGCTTTCAGATCTGTCATGTGAACACAGAGTCCTTTTTAGCGTACCCTACAACCCGATGTTTCACACTGCCAATCAGCAAACAGAAAAACACTTTTACGCAGACTCAACAGCTCGCGTAGTTTCGAGTATCTTCCTTCCGTGTCGGTCTCAAGCGGTTATGTGAACTTTTAAGGTAATATTTATTGATCATTATAAAAATATATTGCATTGCTAACTGACTATTTGACAACATAAATAAATGGCCGACCACCCAAAAGCTATGCCCCCCAAAATTATTTGAACTGTGTTCTGCCAATCTTTTCCGGCGTTTGTATCCTCGACAGGCACGTTGAAGGTTGTTTGGGACAGCTTTACACACATTTCTGATTTTGAAGCTAATTTAAACAACAATTTGTTCCTCACAAATATAACTTCTTAAACATATAGAAGCCTGTTATTGCCTCTTCTATATGGTAAACATTGCTTTAATGTGTCTCTGGGCTGGACAAAAACAAAGTAAACAGGGGCGCGCGCGGCTGAACCATGACGATTACGCACGCAAACTGTCAGAAAATATCCAATTAAGTAGCTGCCATGCCGAGAAAAACTTTAAATACTACTTCGTTTTACTTAATAAAGAAGGTACTTTGGGGGACGCTTAAGCTTCGGCTTTAAAATCGCCTCCTTACTTGCCGCGCAAGCGTGCCTCGGTTGCCTAGTCGGGAGCGTCTGACTCGCGACCGAAGGGTCGTGGGATCGAATCCCTCCTAAAATTCTTTTTTTTTTTTTCTTTAAGGCAAAGAGAAATTATTAGAGACATACGGCGACCTGCAATTCACGTTACATGTCATGTTTTAATCACTTTCATTCCATGCGTGATGTCACGTTTCACGTGAGCATTGTGAGTTGTTTGAAATTCTTGAGCGAGGGCATGTAGCTCTGACGTCATGACCTTATCGACCATTCAGGATTTTCCAGTCACGTCACCGAAATCGGCTTTTCTGCGACATGAGCTTCTCAGTGCTATTGCGTTAAAATAATCAATTAGCAAGGGTGATACTCATTTGCAAATTAAATTGACCGGCCTCTTGTCAAGAGCAAACCTCAATAGCCAGGCTATGCCAGCTTATCCTGTATAAGAAAATGTGAACTAACGTGGGCAAGCGCTATTTTGGGCAAGATTCGATCTGAGTGCGAATGTGCATATAGATTAGACTGAACAATTTTGATTGCTCCTTGCTGCATGATTAGCCGCATGCATTGCGGTGCTGAGTGTCAGCAATGTTTGGTTAAAACAACAAGCATTTTGATTGACGCTCGGCATTTCTTTAAAAAAATAGACTGAAGGGGATTATCCTAGAACTTTCGTGACATTTTGAAAATTTCATTGCCTTTTGCTTAGTTGTGTCGTCATCATATACATATATATATTGTGAAACATATTTAGTAAACAATATTTCACGATATATATGGCCACGAGGCGCCCATTTCATAATTTTGTGCAGTAATTAATTCCTTAGTTCGAGGACACAATCACGATTTAACTTTTAATACTGCGACACAAAGTTGTACCAATCAAGGGTATTTTTGGTGACCATGCCACACTTGGCGTCAACACCCTAGTAGCACCATATGTTGCCATAACGTGACTGGAATGTCACAAATGTAATGTAACGTTGGGGCACATTTGGGTATGTTATAGCAATGTTTGAAAACTAACGTACCAGAAACGTTCTCCTGTAACGTTGTTTGACTGTCACTGAACGTCATGTAACGTTACATCACATAGGCAAACGTTCCAGGAATGTTAGAGAAGCAACATTGGAGCAACGTTTAGAAATAACCTCTTGGTAACATTTCCATCCTGACATACGGGCAATGTTATGCAGGGATGTTGGCCTAATGTGACGAAATGTGACGCATCACCACATCACACAGAGGCTGGTCAAGGATACACGAAGATACCAAACTTATAATAGTTCAATGTTGATTCTCTTGTTCAAACATTTTTATTTTTTTACAAACAGAAAGACCGCTCTAATGCTTGTGACGGGCGTGTTTGAAACAAATGTTCAAAATGTACCCTGGAAAGATTGCAGAAAATTAAAAAAATATCTGTCCAAAAGGTTTATGATAAAATTGAATTCATTTGTGTGTATGGCCTTTCCTTGCTTCCTTCCTGCCCCTTAATGGGTTGGCGAGTCTGCTCAATATTCACAAGCTAGCATGCACCCCCATCAGAGCTTTTAGGTTAAGGTCATTCGAATGTCCAGCTTTTGGAACGCATGCTAAAGATAACAAGAGGGTGAAGTCATGGGGTGTTATTGTGTTATCAAAGGTGGAAAACTCACGCTGGTGACGCGACGACCCAAAGACCTCCCAAACATGTATAGGATGGCATGAGAGTCGTAGCCTGTAAATTAATTTGGAACATGTAGCTAGCTGAAATTATCACCAAAAGTGTATTTTAGTTGTGTGCTCTATTGCGTTATTTTCGAAGCGTAGCTCTGTTTCTGTGAAAAATACGAACATGATTACCCTACGGCCAGGTCGCAGAGAGCTCTTGGGGTCGACCAACTGCTCTATCCGACCCGAGCTTGCTGCAAAATGATTTCTACTATTTAAAATAGAAGCGAGGACTAATTTCACGACGGACTCAGGTCAAATCGAGCGACTGGGTGGTTCTTACTCTCGCCCTGTCTCGGTTGTCTGCGCCAGTGCTTGCCATAGAGATTTAGAGAAATCTTGGAGCGTGCAGTATAAGATACACCCTGGTTGAAAATTTGAAATAGTTACATGCAGAAGCTCATATTTCAGTCCAATTTACAGCTCAGCACTCTATTCGGAAAACTCAAAAAGTGGCGGCTCATTGCAGCACACTGCAAGTGAGACAACTGGCGGTAGCCATTGTCTCATAGACAGAGGAGGGGAAAAGGGAGACGGTTGAGGGGGAAGGTGAGCGATGAGATGGGAAGGAGAATAGAGGCAGGAAGAAAGAGGTCAAGTATGAAGGTCGAAGGCCAAAAACACACGCTCACACAAGGAAGAGAGGAGACAAAAGGAAAAGGGGAATGAGGATGAGAGGCCGAGGGAGCATGAAGAGAAAGATGAAGAGAAGTGGGGCAGGGAGGACCAAGATCAGACGGAGGAGAGAGGAAAGAGGGGAGGAAGAGCACACAGAGGGAATATGAGACCAATGGGGGAGAAGGAGTGGAGGGGAATGAGGAGATGGGACGGGGTGGGGCCAGGTAAGACGTAAAACATTGCAGGTCATAGGCCTCGGTTGCATGGACACAAGATCACACCTCCCCGACCACACAAAATGAAGAGCCATATGCAGCTGCCACCAAAAAGAAAAGGTCAAAGGCCATGAACATAGAATCACTCAAACGAGAGAGAAGGGGGGAGAGGGGAGGAAAGATGAGTAGGATGGGTAGCGGGAAGAGGAAGGTGGACAAGAGAGTAGAGGAAGAGGGGAGGGAGGAATAAGGAGACCGAGGAGATAGAAGGGGAGATGGCGAGGAGGAGCAGTCAAGGGTCCGAAGTCGAGATCAAAGGTCAAAGGCAACGAACATATAATCCTATGAAGGTGGGGAAGGGGGGGCCACAAACATTAAATCATGCGAGGACATGAGGAGTGAAAGGTTGGAAAAGGCAACATAGGAGAGATGGGACGGGAATGGGGTGAGATTAAAGAAAAGTGAGTGAGAGGGGGGGGGGGGGGGGGAGGGGCAGGTAGGAAGGAGATCTAGCATCAAGGGCCACGGATACAAGGACGCACTCCGCCGACCACTCAAAATGAAGGGCCCCAAGGGGGGAGGCATTCACTTTATCGAGTGACGTGTAAGCAAATGTTCACGTTTCACCGAATGACACTTTAGCGAAAATTCGGACGCTGCGAAGCGGCGTTTTCGGGTGGGCCAAGTGGGTTTCCTATTTTTGTAATGAGCCGCCGCAGACTCGCCGCGCGGCGGATGGGTTAACGCGCGCCCCCGTTATTCGCTAAAACGTCGATTCGCTCAAATGCCGCTGTTTCCTAAAACGTCATTCGCTCATCTAATATGGACCCTAATTGTAATGAAACAAGTATAATCGCACACACATTGTTAGCCCCCGTTCACTTCTCGCCAAAGAGCCGTCGACACAAGAACATATTTGAGCTTGAGGCTTCGAAGCTTGCTCTGCGTGGACCGCTCTTTGCCTACATTTGTTATCTGGACACATCACAATGGCACAGCACAGTCGCATAGCTACGGCACTACCGTTTCGATGTTAACAGTCCACTATCGTTACCGATATTACGGTCGAGGTCATCCACTGATCACTGCAAGACGTTGCAAGATCGCCATCGTCCGCCATTATTGCACACTAGTACGGCATTACGGTTATGGCTGTACGGCTTAAACCAATTTCCAATTTCTCCAATCGATGTAATGTTTTATAACTCTTAAAAAAAACTTATTTTAGTACTGTTAGAAAAATTTCCACAGTTTATTCCTACTTGAAACTTCATGTTTAGTCGTTTACTCGTTTACGCACACTGTTGACAAGCCAAGACGCCAAGAGTGCAAGTAGCTCAAGCCAAGCAAGGTCGAAGCCAGGTTGACCACGTGACCGTATGTCAACGGACCGTCAAGGCCTGTTTCATCGGACCGCCAGGCCTGTTTCATCGGACCGCCAGGACTGCTCTGCCGATCTCTCGGCGTGGAGGAAACGTAAACAAAGGTATGTTCCATTTTCGTTGTTGTTACTACTTGTGCTGAACAATGGAGCGGGCGAAGCGTTCGCTATCAGAGCTATCCGATCGCCAAAAAAGACGTAGAGTAGCCGAAAGTAGGGATGCCGCGAACTTTTTTCGAATCGAAGTTTCGATGATCGAATCAAGCGGTTCGAAAGGTTCGAAAGATTTCGATTTTTCGAATTATCCATATCGTAAAATTCGACGGACGTCGAATTTTCGAACTTGTTAAGCTAAGAAGTTCGACGCTTTTCGAACCGTCGAACTTATTACGCTAAAAAATTCGATCTTTTTCGAACTTTCGAACTTATTGCGCTGCAAGGTTCGATGCTTGTCGAACTTTCGAACTTGACTGACCAAAAAATTCGATAAATTTCGAACTTTCGAACTTATTTATAAAGAAAATTCGAAAAGTTTCGAACTTTCGAATTCTGAAAAGTCAGAAGTTCGACGAACTTCGAACTTATAGGGTAAAAGTTCGACGTTCGTCGAACTTTGAAAGACCGGCGGACGGTTTCATTTGATTTCAAGTAGTGGGGTACATTCGTAATTTTTTTTCTCGAACTTTTACACGCGGTGCTGCGTTCCTTACGAAAGACAATGTCGTTTATTTCAATGTTCTGGCATGCTTAGGTTTAAAGAAATAAATCCCCGAAGGGGCGAGGACGGACGACCGGTTTTTGACGATTATCGTTTGTGCCAGATTTGAAGAACGCTGCAGCCGGAGCTATTTATGGTAGATATGTTATACTTTTTTTTAAGAATGATCTATGTATAGCGTAGGTAAGTGCCGTCTTAAGATGTGATTATTGTTATTCAACGTGAGTTTCGAAGAAATGTCCAAACATGTATCTGCATGCAATTATGACCTAAACTTGATATTTATTTTCGTCTAAGTTGTTTGAGGTATCGCATTTAAATTAACACCAAAGACAGTACATATCATTGCCATCTGCAGAATACAAAATAATATATTTATTGTGTTTTCACGTTAAGGAATAAATTAACTCATGGCAGAGGATTTCTAGTAGTGTTCAAGTTCAGCACGTCATTAAAAGAAAACTTCTTTTTTTTCGCTTCACGTTCCTGGGACGTGTTTCTTTTAGCCTGTACACATTTTGGTAAAAGAAACTTGTTTCGAAGTTCTGAACCTCTGAATATGCAAGAATAGAACACTTACGACGAATTCTTGATAGTTTTTTTTTTCTCCTGCTTTTTATTCCCGCATTTATTCTTTTTTTTTTTTTCTTTTGTTATTATCGGCACAGGTGTTTAGGTCGAAAAGACAGCTTTGAACTTCCGAACCACTAAGCATGTGACGAGCAGTGCCTTCTGACAACAAGTTTCTAACAATGACCATCTACGCAACCTTTTATGCAGTGAAGAGCGACAGCAGCTATACAAATGCATAAATAATTTCAGATTAAAATAAGCTCGACCACGCCCTCTTTCCCCGTATTGTTTTCTTTAACAGTCCGAAATACCTGCAAGGGGGAGAAGGAGGCTGAAGCCCCCCCCCCCCCCCCCCCCCCGCTACCCTCTTTCCCCCCGTTTTTCCTCTTCCGACGCCACTTGTATGGTAGAACGCTCCTCGACCTCGAGTTGTGTCGGCTTTTGTGCTTTTTGCGAGGCGATTCCTCCGTCCCAGAAAATAAACCTCCAGTACAATTATAAACTTCACCGGATCGGATTACTACCAGCGTGCAAGGGGTGGCGAGCTAGTTTGCCAGGTCGCTTCAAGGTTTCTCTGAGCCTCAACCTCCTGCTCGCCCCTGGCCGTTTCGAAACTGGATGAGTCTCGTAAAACAGTGTGTTCGTGCAATCACTACTGCGTGATAAAGACCCCCCCCCCCCCCCCCCCGGGGGGCTGGCGGTCACAATTCTGCACTGGCAAATATTCTAGCACGTCCGGGACACTCGTCGTCTCATTTAATTGCCTTACCAACTTCGCAGAATCTAGATATCACACCCTAACTTTTCTAAACTTGATTTTGTGAAAACAAGTGAGTCGTGAAAACGTTATTTGAAACTGAAACTGTAGAAAAACTTGAAAATCGGACTTCAAACTTTGAAAACTTGGATTAAAAAAAATTCAAAATCTTCAAAGTTTTTTTTTTTTTTTTTTTTTTGAATTTAGCGTTAAAAGAGAATCGAAACTTTCGAACTTTTCGAACTTTATGCCAAAATAAATTCGAAATCTTCGAATTGTTCGAACTTCATGTCTATAAAAATCGAAGCGTTCGAAGTTTTCGAATTTTTTTTACAAAGAATTTCGAAATCTTCGAATTTATCGAACCTGAAGTAAAAAAATATTCGAAATATTCGAATTCGAAATTTTAGAAACCGTGAAAGCTTCGAAATATTCGAATTCGAAACTCAGCTGTGGACAAAAGTTGCGAATTTTTCGAAATCGAACCTCGGTCGGTACGAAAATATCGAAATTTTTCGAAATCGAACCTCAGTTTGCTTCGCAAATATCGAAACCTTTCGAAATCGAACCTAGGGTGGTTCGCGACATCCCTAGCCGAAAGTGTTCGCAAGGAACTTGAAAGTTGCGGTACGAGCAGTGAGGAGTCGGTGGACACTGAGGAAGCATACCCTCTTTCACGTGGACAACAGGCCGTGGCAGCACATGCAAGTTTTTCCGGAGAGTTTGAATACCAACGAGCTTCCGAGTGTGAATCTGAGTCGAGTGATACGAGTGGTGCACGAAATAACCTAATCTCAGAACACCTGTGTCAAAATCCCCGCTGCGAATTCCCCGCGTTACCTCCCCCTCTTCAAAATCCCCGGCCTTCAAAACCCCCTTTCCTTTATCCCCTTATCAGTTCCCCCGGGCCATTGGTCCTTAAAAACCATTTGGAAAAGCGCTTTTATGGACACTTCATAAAGCTGAGCTGTGTTATGACCATCCTAGCCAGCCCCAAATTTTCTTTGACACACTGTGATCTTGGAGAATCTCTCTTGAGAGAGTTTGTTTCTGGAGCTGGTACCTTGTATGAGAGGGTTTATGTCTACAACATGCACTCCCTGATCCACCTGACAAGACGTTCGACGGTTCGGCCCTGTCAACACCTCCTCGGCCTTTCCCTTTGAGAACTTCCTTGGGAAGCTCAAGAAGTTGGTGAGGGGTCCTTCCTTGGCACTGCAGCAGGTTATCAAAAGGCACTCAGAAGTGAATCCCACCACCGTGTCAAGTTCTGTGCAACAGAAGTGTGCTCTGCTCAAGCAACAACCTGAGCCGCCAAGCTTCAAGAAAACCCAGTGCAGTGAGCTTGTTTTAGACGGAGCACATTTCTCTTTGAAGGCGTTCGACAACTGTGTTCAACTGAAGTATGGCAACATTGTTGTTGTTAGGAACTTCATTGAGTCAGATGGGAACCGTAGCATCTGCGGACAGTTTTTCCGAAATCTCGGCAACCTTTATACTTCAAAGCTGCCATCATCAGAGCTAAAAATTTTTAGAGCTACAGGGCTCTCCATGCAGTATTCAGTGGGGAGTGTGCAGGACATCAGGTGGAAGTGCGTCTGCTTGCAATATAACCAGGGACATGATTGTAAACCTGAGACTGGGGCAGAAAGGAGAACACAGCAGAAGGTAGAAAAAGAGGAGGCAATGTCTCAAACTCCGCTGCAAAGTTTATTTCGTACGCGCCTTATTCGCGTCTCCAGCTCGACGCTCGCCCTCCCGCGGCGGAAACGGGAAGCGCTCTAGTGAGGGTCCCCCGATTCTCCTGCTCAGCGGGCATGGCGGAACTGCTCGCGATCACGGCTCGCGAAATGTCGTTTCCGAATGCAAACAACACTCTTCACTGTCGCAACGTAGTGCTGCAGCCGGTATGGGATTGTACTTTACTGGAGAGTTTTAGTATTGCGCATAGAAGCAAACGCAAGCGGTGTGCGTTTGCGTTAGAGTTGCTTGCCCCACGCTGTGCGTGCGCCTCATCGTCATGCGCCATCCAAGACCGCGATTTCGGGCTCCGCGCACGCGCAGTGTGGAACGCGCAAAGCTAACGCAAACACATAGGGCTTGAGTTCGCTCGTATACGCAATATTAAAACTCATTACTGTTTCACCAGCTTCCAACGCCAACGAAACGTGCTGCAGTGAGCAGACGTGCAAGCAGGTAGGCGTTCCTTCGAACTGGAAAGGCTGAGATTGGCAAAACGACGTCGAGCAAATACAAAAGTAAATAAATGTTATGAAAAACTAGCAATTAAAAAAAAAGTTTTTTTTTTTTTTTTAACTTTTGGGCATTTGGTCTGGAAGTATATTGGCGGCGACTTTGGACGTTTCGCTGATTGTCAAAAGTCGCGACTTTGATAGCACAATATACTTTACCCACAGTTAATGTAATTTTACATGGATATCTAAGATTACTTAATTGATTTTAGACAATTTTAGTTTATTTGTAATTAAAATGCAGCAATTGGAACCAGTGATGATAATTAGCACAGTTTTCATTGTCATATTTCTTCGCGCGTTTAAAATTAGATCACAGGCAACAAATTATATTAGAGCTTGAAGAATTGCTTATTCAAATATGTGAATTTTAATATTATTATCATTAATACAAATAGCGGCAATGTATGCCTTTAATTAACGCCGAAATCACGAGAATACTCTATTTAACCATGATAGTCTTTCCAGAAAGGTATAATTCTGTTTTCTTTTTAGCATATGAAAAACTCTGACATAGTTATCAAGATAGACAAACAGTTAAACGCTGGATGTAATATGAAATCCTACGCGTCACTCGGTGCTATAAAAACACACACACACACACTTCAGCTGTCTGACTCGGATTCCGTCTTGGGTTGTTGCAGTGAGAGCAGCGTTTATTAGTTTATGCGTTTCGTGGACATATTGTAAAAATTTGAAATTATTCTCTTATTCTTGTGTTGGGATAATTGTCATTATTTCCCGTGACAATTATCTGAGCGAGAAAAAGGCAGCGAGAACGCACATATATCAGCACAGATTTTTTCAACAACTACCAATATCAGCCTGGATCGAACAGTATGTCACAATATAAAGTTTCCGCGAACAACTTTTCTAAGTAAATAATTACGATGTGAGACACATCTTGAGTCATGAAAGAATCCGAAATTAAGACCTCTGTTGAGAAATTAAATCCAAAATAGAGGTAAGTTTCGGTTTCGCTCCAGAATTAAAACGCGCATCCTTCCGTAATTAATACGCTAAACACCGTTCTTGTTTTCAGGTTAAAGAGGTGACCTGCGCTCATGAAACATTAGCTTCCTCGTATTACCAGAAGTCATTTATGGCGCTCAGTGAAGCCAGCACACTAGACAGGCTCAACAGCGGCACGCATTTCTGACCCTCACTAAACCCGCCATCTTGGAAAATGAGTGGCGCCACCTATAGTTAGTTGGAGTCGCGAATATACCACAACTCCAACGCTGTCTCTACAAAAAGAAAAATATATGACAAGAGGACAATGAAATTTGGGTAAACCTTCTCTTATCTCCCTTGACCTCTCCTGCGAAACACTCACACAAAGGGTCACATTCTAGCATAACCACCGCCATTCGGCGTTGGAGTTGTGGTATATAAGGCGTGTACGAAATAAACTTTGCAGCTGAGTTTGAGACGTTGCCTCCCCTTTTTCTACCTTCTGCTGTGTTCTCTTTTCTGCCCCAGTCTCAGGTTTACAATCATGTTCAACTTACACCAGCTCGCCTGCACTCTGACTATTTTTTCGATAACCAGGGCTATGCTGTTTTTTTTATCTACTTCACTTGCAAGTGTGATCTATGTTTGCAACTATTGTACATTGGTTGTGCTTAATTCGAAAACTGTATTTTTAGTGACTTATGACTGGTCTTTAAGGTAATAACGGCTTTATTTGTTGATTTCAGGAAATGTACTCTCTTGTCCATTTTTTGGCGGAAAATGATGTCGCAGTTGTCCCTACCTGTTGGGTGTGCAATGGCTGCACGGCATGGCCACCCTACAAATCAAATCTGTTGATGATGGCAATTAGAGAGCGTGAAGAGCCCTCGACTGACTGGGCCACATTCTCCTGTCAGGTGATGGCATCATGTTGTAAGTATAGCAGGGTGTCTAGCAACCAGGAAAACCGGGAATTGTCAGGGAAATTTTAATTACCGGGAAAAATCGGGGATATTGTCAAAAATCAAGCCCAGTCATGGAAAATGAGCCGGAAATGCCATTGAGTGCCCTGAGCAAAGAGTTGAGAACCTTGGGGCAGAGAAATAGGCAATAAATTCTGCTTAGAGCGGAGCGCGGACTCTGCTCACCCAATGTAGAGTGTGCTAGAGCACTGCACGAGCCAGAATTTCTAGACCCGGCCCGGTAGAGGCACGGCCCGGGTTTGGCCCGAGCCTAATAGAATATTTAATTTCCGGGCCCGGCCAGACTTGGCCTTGAAGAGACACGGCTCGGGCCCGGCACGGACCCGACAGAATTTTAGACAGAAGCTTGAGCCCAGCACGAGCCCGACAAAATTTTTGTTTTCTTTAATATAAACCTGAGCTGGCCCAATCCTCACAGATTATATACATGAGCCCGAAAAAGTTGGCAGGCTTTAACCTAAAAGCTGTCTAACCATAAAGCGAGCATGTTTGATTTAATGAACAAAAGTTTAGGATGCAAACAAGCTTGTGGTGGTTAAACATTTGACTGGTGTGCTCGGCTTTCTTGTTTCAGTGACACATGAAGATGCAAAGTACAAAGAAAAAAAATTCGGAAGCGACGTCCGACTTAACATTGAATAATGAAGAGCGGGAGAAGAGAAAAAGGAAGAGACTGCAGCATACTCTTTCTTCATTTGAGGATGAGGACTTCTATGACCAAGATGTATGCACCTAAATTTCTGCAACACCTTTGTATTCGGGATTCATTTGCCCTCCTTTTTCATCAAGCTTGCCTCTTCTGCAGGAACGACGTAACACTCAGCCAGCCCCTCAACTTCCAGAACGTGCACCAGAGCCCAAGCAAAAACGCACACGTGTATGTTTGCTTTTTGTTGCTGCAATTTCTTAACGCTTTCCAGCATTTAGATTTTTTATTTTATGTGATTAGCCTCAGCTTGGTTAGCCGCAATTGTGATAATGAATGGTATCCATATTGTTTATTGAGCACCTGCTGCTTTGATGTTTCTTTTAGAGCGCAGCTCTTAGGCGGCCGTTTCCGGCTTGAGTGCTGTCGCCGTCGCCGTAACCGCGGCGACGTTTCGGCAAGGTGACTTTTCGGCACCATGCCAAATTGTCCTCGCGGGGTCACGTGACCCCCGTCAGGAGGGTCACGTGACCTCACGGTTACGGTGACGCCGCTCAGAGGGAGGTGTGGCAGGGAGGAGGGGTATACCCTTTCCTCGGGACCCTTCCCTCCTCCTCTAGAGCTGCACTCTAATTTAGCGTTACAGGGAGTTGTAAACGGCTTTCATTTTTTTTATCTAGTAATTTTTAATTTACAAACCTGCTAGTTGTGGTATGCTTCCTCGCACAAGGACAGTTATAGCCTAAGGGATGGTGAAGTGGATATTTTTAGTTTGACGGTGCATATGTTTGCTTTGTATTGCTGCAACCTCATGTTTGCATAATTCTGCTGTACTAGTCATTTTTATTTTACAATTTAATTTATTTTGTTTATTTATCTATGCTTTCTGATCAAAGGATACATTAGAATGCTTGCTGTTTGTGCACTCTAACCCTAGCACTTTTTATGAACCTGTCCTCTGCTTTATATGTGGAATGGTTTGGGCAGCGTTAGGATTGACCACTTCTTAAAGAAAGGTGGTACATTTTGTTTTACACCACCGAGCACTCTTTGGTGTAAGGTACATTACCATATAGCTGAATGACACAATCAGCTATACACGTTTGCAAGCAGTCATGTTTCCAAAAGTAGTCTAGCCACCATGGGTAGGGAAACATGCTCTCAGGGTACCAATCTGTCAATTAGCTTAGTGACGCTTTAGCAAGCCTTCATAATCGGATTATCTGGGGTGCACCCGAGCTGGAAGATGGCAGCGCGCAAGGGCCCGCCATTTTGCAGACTCTGTCTCATTTTTGTTAGTGAGCGAAAACGAAGGCTTCTTCAGTATCATCTAGGAAAACCACATGTCCAATATTATCTCCATTTAAATCTTTATGAAATGGATCAGCAAACTGCTAACCCTAGCTGACAATGTAGGCGCAAACGACAGCGCAGTTGCTACTACGGCTTCAGTGCACCAAACATCAATTTACTATGTCAGGTGCATTGTTACATTTTCTTTGTTTTTTCCATGCACAGTCAGTCCTTGACTTGAGCACTGTCTTCTCCAAAAGTTGGTTCAGCGGTGTCCACATGATTGGCACAGACCTGGATGTGCACGTTTCTCATGGTTCACCTCTGTTAAATAATAATGGCATTGTTTGCACAATGTTCACATACTCAATGGCTTATTTATGTACTATTTAGTAGACCTCGCTGCATACTAATGTTCTTCAGATATTTATTCCTTTGAGAAAACTTGGCTTTAGCGTAGGTTGCAGTGGTGCAGATGTCGTCAGACACGGAGCAGACAACACTCAGGCCCGTCTGTTTGCGTCGTCCTCGCAGGGGTAGCACATCATCATTTGTACCATGGGATTGGTCATGTCTCCTCTGACTCTGCCATCGTTGCCTGTAGAAGCCGATGTTTCGGGTTTTACTTGGGCTATGTTTAAAGCAAAATTGCATAGGAAATATTCCACCAATGCATGAAATAAAATAGTTATTTTTATATTTCTTTTTAAATTTATTTTTTATTTTTATTTGAAGTCTTATAATTCCAAAAGTTTTGGAATTAAGCAGAGTTGCCTTTTAACAACAAATGGCTATAGCTAAACAGGGCACACAAGTGAGGAGCTTTTTTTTCTAAAAAGGTGAAATCCACATGAAGTAAAACAGATAAATTGGTATGTTTGCTTATCAGTATAGCTTTGAGCCATGTGCCGCAGCCACCTCTGCTGTGGTTTTTATAGCGTACTCTGACCGATTTCACTGTAGCAGCATTTGAGATCGATAGACCAACGAATATAGTTTGAATTCATACAAAAATTTGCTTGGTTTCAGTTTTCTGGTTGGCTCTTTTAGATGAAAGGAAACTGTCCTGGTGAAGCATGTGACAGCAGCCCACATAACCTCACTACAGTGGAGTTTTGTCCCATGCCTCGCTCCCGAGCTATCTGGCTCATTGACAGGGTGTCTAGCACCTTGGAAAAGCTGGAATTGTCAGGAAATTTCGGATCATCTGGAAAAGTCAGGGAATTGTCAGGGAGATAATCAAAAAGTTAGCCAAATCAGGGAAAATGGCCAGGGCGAGTAATGCGGTGGTGTGCGACGAAGCCAGGAGAGTCGTGCATTGACGTGGCTGTGGTAAATAACATTGCCCGAAACTTTGTAAGTCTTTGACTTCTTGAGCAACATAAAGACAGATTTCAATAAATTGTTTTAAATTGTGAGTGGTGTTCACTTATGAGGTGTTTAGCAGCAGTTCGTACCACATCTCCAAACTTCTGTAATGGACAGGCAATTTAAAACCTGGAAAAGCTGGGGAACTTAAAAGGAGGAATTTGCTAGACACCCTGGCTGATTTCATAGTTACCGATGTCTGCCAAGTTATGCTAAAGTAGGGCATGAAATTGTCGATATTTCACTGTGGTAGCTGACGTTGTGTTGTAATTATATACTTTTGAAACAGGAGCTGTGCGCACCTGCTTTAAACAGAAGGCAGAAAACATGAGCCAGCCATCATCGTGCAGGAAGCCGACGCCAAATGGGCTGCTGCTGAATCGGTCAGGCATGCACCAGCTAGGACCAAGAAAATGGTAATATGATATTCCTAATTTTGCTTAAACTCCCGAAAAATACTTTTGCATCCTAAAACAAGCCCAGATTTCAAACAAAGGCATTAGTCTACTTTACATAAAGACATTTTTAAGTATTAAGAAATTTATTTAGCCAATGAAAGAACACCATGTTATGACATTGTCTGCAATGAGCTTGACATTGTAGAAAATATGAGGCTCATTGACATTGCCCCTGGGTCCGGACAGTTCATCAAACGCCGTTTCATTGAACATTATTTCATCGAAGCTGTTTCATTGAACGCAGTTTTATCGAATGCTGTTTCATTGAACGCCATTTTATCAAAGTTGTTTCATTGAACGTAGCCTATTTGAGCAGTAGAAATATTTTTCTTTTTAGTGCCGGGAGGATAGCAGTGTTTTAATATTTATTGTAACTTATAAACTTATATATATATAAAAGGAAGGAACCTTTTTTTGTCACCTTCTATTCTTTTTTTTTAGTAAATGATGACTTCTGTTAATGAGGCCAATAAGACACAGTAACACTAACGACACTTTTAAAAGCTGTGATCATCAGGTGCAGTGATGAATGCACGTCCATTCAAAAGCGTATATATATCTTCGTCCTTGAAGAGACCTATTCTGCTTCAAGACGAAGCCGTCCTTGAGGCAGTGATCTGTCTCCGTGGCCCATGATACGGGGAAAAGAAAAGACGTGTCTCCTCTCTTTGTTAATTTATTATAACCGACAGAACCGTGGACCTGCCGGATATTCGACATACAGTAATATACTGCATGTCAAAGATCCGACAGGTCCACGGTTCTGTCGGTTACAAAAAATTGACGAAGAGGGCAGGCACGTCTTTTTTAAGAACATCTATGTTCTTAAAAAGAAAGCTATTCTCTTAGGATAAAATGAAAACAAAGTTAAATCTACAAATACAAAATAAAAAAGGCGCTGCGGAAAATAGCTGTTTCCCTCTTAAGAAAGTGCCTTTCACGCATGAATAAATAGAAGGTTGAAGTGGGAAAAAGTGAGTGGCCGAGAACAGCCGCCTACCTTGCCAGAAAAGAATAAGTCGCGTATCCACTGTCTTCTGTGGGTAGGTCACACTTTGCGGTAAAAGTCTAAACTGGATGAAAAGAATGGCTTATGCATGCAAAGAAACTGTGGTGAAACTGCTAGGACAGATGTAGGCATTTCTTTTTTCATCTTGATGACACACTCTGCCCTGAAATAGGCACCCATTTTCGGAATGCAACCAACTTTTTTGTGTTATTTTTTTGCAGGAGCAGTGTGCCTCTTCTCAGGAGTGACTGAGGCGCTGCCACAAGGGGAGAAGGCAAGCATGTTTCTGATTACAAGGATGGACAGTTGGGCTGGGCTAGTTGGTAAGAATTCATGTTGAAAAACGGTGCGAAAACCAGACAAAGGAAAAAGAACACACAGTGCCTTGTCCTGTGTGTTTTCTTATCCGTTCATTTTGCGCTGTTTTTCAGCATGTTTCTGCCTTGATTTTTCTGTTAGTTTTAAATGTTAGTAGTTGGTTACTTTGATCCCAGTTGGAAGCATGGAATTGGTTAACCGTGCTAAATGCATAGAATTGAAAAAAAAAAAAAAAAAATTCATGCTACCTAAATCATTTAAAATGCTTTTTTTTCTAATGATTTCTTTCTCTTTTTTTTACAGCCATTCCATGAGTAGAGTCCCTGTTGTTTGAATTTTTTATGTCAATTTGTAATATGCATATGTTACCTTTAATTTCTATTCATGCATACATTTTAGCCCCAGCTAGTGGTTTCTTTTACTTAATTTATGTACACATTAGTGTGGTATTTTTAGAAGATTTAAAATTTATGTTCTTTTTTCTAGTCATTTTTGGTTTATTGCCTCCGTTATTTATTTATATGTCCTAGCCCAAGATCGGGTGTAATTTGAGATATATTTAGAATTTTATTTTAAGCTACTTGCTTTATGTTGCTGGGAGTTTTAATATTTTACATTTTTATTTTTATGCAGATCAGCCTTGTAATTTAGTGTGTTCTTTACAATTTTGTAGATCTAATAGCTTGTAAGAAACAGAAGAATTCTCTGGTACTTGTAATGTTGGTTTCGTTTTTGAAATAAATTTATTCCAATAACTTCTTGTTTTCTTCCGGAGTCCTGCTTCTAGGATTTCAAAATGCTGATTCATTAATGGCCTGTAATGCACATCCATTTGCTCATATCAGGCACCAGCTCAAAAAATGACTTCATGACAACCATAAATGCAGTTTCCTGGCAGCGCTTGTCAATGTATTTTCGGATAACATTGTTCAGTAATGTTCAAGTAACACATGCAGTAATATCTGGCCAGTGCCAGCATATTGTAAAAATGTTTACTGAAAGTTAACAGAATAAAAGCACAGAGGAAAAACAGATGACCGCTCTTTCATTTAGTTACGACGCTCGTTTTTTGGAAGCAAAGACTCGCGCACAGGTCAAGATTAACTGCAAAAGGAAGGTTTGATCAAAGGAACTTTAGGGAGATAAGGGATAAGTCAGTAACACTCCACCTTCGGTATCTATAGTTGATCTCGACCTGTATGCGACTCTTTGCTCCTCAAAAAATAAACGTTGTTGCGAAATGAAAGAGTGGTCATTTGTGTATGTTCCTCACGTTTTTATTCCTTCACTTTTAAGTAAGCCGTAATGTCAGTGCAACATTTTGGTGTAACATTACTGGATGGTAGAATTCGTGGCCATTAACAACAACTAGCAACGTTAGCGACGACGTCCGAGTAACATCACTGATCTAGCATCCAGGTAACATAGGGAGCTATGTTACTGCAACATTTTGATGTGACGTTACTGGAAGGTAGAACTGGTGGCCATTAGCAACGTTTGGCAACGTTACCTAACAACGTTCCAGTAACATTATTTGGGTAATGTCCAGGTAACGTATGCAGTTACGTTACTGTAACATTGTGGTGTAACGTTACTGGAGTGTAGAATCCGCGGTCGTTAGCAGCGTTCGGCAACGTTACCTGACAACATTCCAGTAACGTTGTAGCTACATTTTGTGCTACTTGGGCATTTTATACTGTGTGAATAAATCAGCTTGAATTTTAGAGTTTGACTTAAACACAAAGAAAGGACAGGAAAAGACAGTATAGTACTAAATTCCAAGCTGATCAATTTTTTTAGGTATGTACCAACAAGCTCAGCTCCTTACTGTTATACTGAAACATTTGGATTCAGGTAAATATATGTTACTGGTAATGTGTATGTTATGTCGTATGAACACGCCGTTATGTATGTTAAGAAATTTAAAAAAAAATGAATTTCATACTTTTGGTTTTTGAAAAAAAGTTAATTGCACAGATGAGAGGAGAAACTATATAGTTGATTGTTTCACGGCGTAAATAGTGTATAGTGTCAGAACAACGCGGAAAATATATTATCAATTTAGTGGTTCAAACCGGTTCGAACCGGTTCGAACCGGTTTGAACCGTTATTTTTTGCTCCCGGAACTGAACCGGAACCGAACCGAAAGCCGTGAACCCGAACCGGAAACGAACCGATAAAAATTTCGGTTCGACACTCTGCTCCCGCTCCTCGCCGGCCCCGCCGGAGCGAGGCATGACGGGATTGCATTTTGGCGCACTCCCGATTTTCTCGGTGCCGCGAGTGCATGCACGCGTGGGGTGTCAGCGCTGAAACGAACTCGGAGAGTGCAACCACTCGTGGAGCGCCGGCCGAAACGAACCCGTTCCACGCTGCGAGTGGGCACGCGTGGGCACGAGTGCCGTGAAACGAACTCGCTATCAGTTAATACAGCGCAAAACAATTAAGTTATTAACTTCTTCAGTGATTATAATTGGTCTCTTTAATTGCAACTGTTCGTAAATTTAATAATAACCCTTCGCATAAAAAAAAATTCTCCAAACCTAGACATGCTTGTATCAAGGTCTGGCCACACTGTCCACAAAGTCGAACCGGTCGAATTTGGTTAAAAGTTCGAAGGTTCGTCGACCCGGTTCGACCCAGTCGAACCCCGAAAGTTCGACCAAAAAATCTGGTTCGACAAAAGTTCGCGACACCCCTAGCGCTATTCAGCAAAACATTTTTTTTTTCTGTGTCCATTTTGCAGCAAGTGCAAACAAAACTATGTCTCAAAATTTGCTTGTGACCATTTTGTCCGAGTTTGCCATTGGGGCTTCCGCTTGGAACCATTTCGTTTAGGGTTGTTTTCCGTCTGGGGACATTTCGTCCGAATCCCGGCGGCACCCGGAACAATTTCGGAGAACAGAATCTCATTTAGTGACTCTAGTATCACCCAAACGGGACATCGAGGACATTAAACTAATCCCAACAGAATGAGCTAGCAACAGAAAGAATAAAACAAACTCGGGACAACGGACATTTCTTTCGACGTCCCTCGTCCCGAGTTTGTTTTATTCTTTCTGTTGCCAGTCAATGTTACCAACACGCTCTTCAGTTAATGTGAATGAGCTACTTCCCTGCAGTTTGTGTTTCGATGAACACGTTTCTTCCGATGCTTGTAATGTTGGTATTAGGGGTGTCGCGAACTTTTGTTTTGTCGAACCAGATTTTTTGGTCGAACTTTCGGGGTTCGACTGAGTCTAACCGGTTTGACGAACCTTCGAACTTTTCGCCAGATTCGACCGGTTCGACTTTGTGGACAGTGTGGCCAGCCCTTGACACAAGCATGTCTAGGTTTGGAGAATTTTTTTTTATGCAAAGGGTTATTTTATTTTGTGAACAGCTGCAATTAAAAGAAACTAAATCTAATCACTGAAGAAGTTAATAACTTAACTTTTAGTACTGTATTAACTAAAATAGCCAATCAGCGCTGCACTTAATTCATCTCTTAGCCATTACCATCCAATCCGAAGCCAACGAGCAAGCCTGACGCGCATGCGCACACGAGTCGAGCCTCATTACAAGGTTCGGCGAACTTTTCACTAAACGTTCGAAAAAGTCGAACCTGGTCGAACTCGAACCGCGGCCGGTTCGCGACACCCCTAGTTGGTATGGTTTTATTAAGGGGTGTCGCGAACTTTTGTCGAACCGGATTTTTTGGTCGAACTTGCGGGGTTCGACTGGGTCGAACCGGTTCGACGAACCTTCGAAACTTTTCCCCAGATTCGACCGGTTCGACTTTGCGGACAGTGTGGCCAGACCTTGATAGATGCATGTCTAGGTTTGGAGAATTTATTTTTATGCAAATGGTTATTTTATTTTATGAACAGTTGGAATAAAAAAGAAACCACTTCTATTCATTAAAGACGTTAATAACTTAATTTTTGTTTGTACTGTATTAACTGAAATAACCAACCAGCGGTGCCCTTAATTCATTCATTAGCCATTACCATCCAATCCGAAGCCAACTGGCCAGCCTGTCGCGCATGCGACACGAGTCGAACCTCAATACAAGGTTCGTCGAAATTTCCATAAAAAGGTCAAAAAAGTCGAACCAGGTCGAACTCGAACCTCGGCCGGTTCGCGACACCTCTAGTTTTATTTAGGGGTGTCGCGAACTTTTGTCGAACCAGATTTTTTGGTCGAACTTTCGGGGTTCGACTGGGTCGAACCGGTTCGACGAACCTTCGAACTTTTCACCAGATTCGACCGGTTCGACTTTGTGGACAGTGTGGCCAGACCTTGATACAAGCATGTCTAGGTTTGGAAACTTTTTTTTTTATGCAAAGGGTTATTTTATTGTGTGAACAGCTGCAATTAAAAGAAACTAATTCTATCCACTGACGAAGTTAATAACTTAAATTTTATTACTGTATCGACTGAAATAGCCGATCAGCGCTACACTTAATTCATCTCTTAGCCATTACCCTCCAATCCGAAGCCAACTGGCCAGCCTGTCGCGCATGCGCACACGAGTCGAACCTCAATACAAGGTTCGACGAACTTTCCACTAAAAGTTCGAAAAAGTCGAACCTGGTCGAACTCGAACCGCGGCCGGTTCGCGACACCCCTAGTTTTATTCAACCTTCGTAGCGAAGCGAAACTGGCGAAACAGCGTCGTTCCACGTGACCTGCGCCCTGCTCTGGGCGTGATTGCCGTGTTTCCGCTTCCGGGGTTACCATGACGACTCGGGCGTAAAGCAATGGTTGCCGTGTGTCCTGCTTCATGTAATACGCGACGCTTCGTAGTTAGAGCCTGCTTCGTTTTAGTTAGCGTCTTAGTGTTTTCGTACTGCTTGTCATTCGTCTTATTCACCGTAAGTTGAGCATGCGTAATGAGTCAAACGACAGACGCATAACATGACGGAACTTGCCTCCCCACAGGACTGGGAAAGAGAACAACTCTACAAGTCGAAACCCGAAGGCGGTGGACGTATGTCGCATCATTTGTCGATTCGTCCTTGGGTTAAAATAGTGAAGCCGTAGTGTCTATACTTCATTTCAATCGAGTCGGACAGCAGCCAACAATCCGATGGCGCGAATCAAGCAGCGCCAAAAAGTGTACCGTCACGGCGTCTCTTCCATCACGCGTAGGAAAACACAAAGACGACGAGCGCCGTGACGATGCACTTTTCGGCGCGACTTGATCGGCTCCATCGGATCGCAGGGTTGGCTGCGATCGGACTTTTAACCACCGGCAACAAGAGACCGTGCTCGCTCGCTGAACACGATGAATCGACATCTCACCCTCTGTCGATTCAACAAGGCGAGCAACTTGGTCCCGTGTTGTCGGCAATTCTTAGTAGCGCCTTTTTAAGTGCTGCATTTTGCATGACACCAGATCGGTATACTGGCAAGCATGAAGACATCAAAGTCCCGGTTATCCTCTGGTGGACTCCCTTTACGAAGGAACCTGGACGCACAAAGGCGTGCAGCAACCGGTCTTGTTTCTTCACGGAAGACAGAGCTTTCTTCAACCACACAAGGCTTTATGTGAGCTCATTCGAGTCTGAGAACATGTTTCTGTGTGGAAAGGATCGGACATCTAGGGACGTCTGATCCAAACAATACATAGCTTCCGTGTGACGTCTGTGCAATGCCAGTACTTTTTAAGCCGCAAGCATTTCAGTAGTACTTTTAGCTACAGACCGCAGAAGTTGTAGTTCGAAGAATCCATGTAACTAGAAATAACTATCGGTACCCAGCAATGGCGATGCTTGCGAGCTATGTATAGTATTTTGTCTCGTACAATATTTATATCTTGTGAGTAACAGACTTTTCCAACCTGGGCCCGTTTGCTCGAAGCACTAACCGCGGCTAAAGTTAGCCGCAGTACCTAGGAGAGGGATTTTGAAACCACGTGACTGGCTCGGTAGGGAGGATGCGGGGAAACATGGCGGTGCCCCAGCGAGTGAGCGCCCCTCGCTTTGGAAATAATATGTCGTTGTAGCTGCAATATCGGGCGCGTTAGTCAGCAACGAATGGTGCAGGAGGCTTTCGCTTTGCTTTACCTCACTTAAACCGCAAAGCATGGACAATGACATCGCCGCATTTTTTAGATAGTCTTTCGATTCTGGGCATTCCTAAGCCTAAATGAACGCGATAATTGTCGGCATGGCAACGTCTTTGGAAAGCGAATTGTTGATTGCACACAAAAGCAGACAGCGTCCCAACAGACCTTTTTTCTAAATTATCCAAACACCGAGGTGCATGCTACGACTGTAGTTGCACGCGTCGCACGTGCTGGCGTCTGCAGTAGTAACCGTTCTACAGCAAAAAGTATAAAACAAATTTTGCCTTGCACGCGCGTTCGTTAAAGCCTTATTATGATTTTTTACTTCGATCTTTTATAAGAGGAAGGCCAGCGCGCGTGGACCGTAGAATTACACTTCCAGCGTTCTCCTCGCGATGCTTGGATAATTTAGAAGAAAGTCTGTTGGGACGCTGTCTGCTTTTGTGTGCTATCAATACCCGGCCGATTGAGTCAAGGCAATCCGCTTTCCAAAGACGTTGCCATGCCGACAATTATCGCGTTCATTTAGGCTTAGGAATGTCCAGAATCGAAACACTATCTAAAAAATGCGCCGATGTCATTGCCCATGCTTTGCGGTTTAATTGAGGTAAGGCAAAACGCCTCCCGCACCATTCGTTGCTGACTAACGCGATCGATATTGCAGCTACAACGACATTATTTCCAAAGCGAGCGGCGCTCACTCGCTGGGGCGCCGCCATGTTTCCCCGCATCCTCCCTACCGAGCCAGTCACGTGATTTCAAAATCCCTCTCCTAGGTACTGCGGCTAACTTTAGCCGCGGTTAGTGCTTCGAGCAAACGGGCACTGATGTGTCGTTCATGCTTCTCTTCTAGGCCATTGTGTTCTATGGTAGTGAGCTTGAAGTTGGAGACCTCCCCTTGCCAAGGAAGGCAAACCATGATTGGGCACTTCTTCATGAGGAATCGCCAAAGAACAACTTCCTTTTCTGCATGCCCAGTGTGAGCAGTCATTTCACTACCATTACCAAAAAAAAAAAAAATATAAAGCAAACCGTCCCCTTCGCCTGCCACTTTATAAAAATGAATATAATTGTGACAAACCAGTTGGATTGGTCGAGCAGAATTTATGCAGACTTCATAGTTGTTAGGAATTCCTAGCATTGATAAACTTTGAAGGCCGAGTGCTTGCTAGGACATGAACCAAATTACATAGTCATGGTTAAAAGAAATGTGAATGACAAAGCTGCCATTAAATGATACCTACGGTACCTCATAGCTCAAGTGAAGGAAAGCTCGAAGCAAGGGAGCAGTTCATCCTTTTGAGTTTGGCACCAAATACCCGCTTGAATCTCTGTCTGCCGTCCCGTCCACTGGACCTTTTCAAAAACGCTTTTCTCAAGCCAAAAGGTATGTTCTGGTAAATGGCTTGCACACATCATTGCATTATGTTGGAGGTCATTCATATGTGTTCTTGCCGAGAGAAACAAATTCAGTGGTGCAAAAATATGTGCCATGGAAGGTATGATCTTGGCAGCAAGGCCATTACAATAGCAGCCGACACAAAATCAGTGCAAGCCATGAATAGAACCAGTTGCAGCAGACAAAAAAACCAACATGGGGCCTTGTCGCTGAAGGGAAATTATAGTTTCACAGTAACACTGAAGGTATGGTGTCTCCAGCATCATTTCTGACTGTAGTGAACCGCATGGCAAGCCTCGAGTTCGAACCTTTCAACTCTACTGAATATTTTTGATGCAACTTATCTGCTCAAATATTGTTCTGAGTGTAACACATTATCACTATTTTTTTTTTTTTTTTTAAGGCACCTTGGAAGGCAATAAAAGTTCCTCTACATTGTGGATACAGCCACCAATCTCAAGGCAACAATTGAACGTAGACTACTATTTGCAAGCTATTAAAGCTAAAAAGTTAAACTTTTTATAAAATGTATTTAGAAAAGCGATATTTGCCTTGTAAAATGCACGTTCGATTGACATACATTTTTTTCTGTCAGTTTCAACTGAGCTCTGATTAACCATTTGCCTGCAGGTCCTGCACTGGTTCAACCACACGGCAACATTTAGTAGAAACTCTGACCTTCCTCTTACCCTTCAATACTTGAGTGGAGCGAAGGACCTCACCAGCAAAGAGTTTTTCCAAGAAACCTCCAAAAAGAACCAAGCTCGAATCCGGCTTGCCCCCATCGCCTACGTGCAGTCGGACTGCAACACCCCCATCGAGAGAGACGCGTTTGTTTCAGAGCTAATGAACTACATTGATGTGGATTCCTATGGGAAGTGTGTGCACAACAGGGACCTTCCGGAAGGGTAAGTCGCACTGCAACACTGACAAAAAAAAAAAAAAAAAAATGTGTGTATGTTTAGAGAGCAGAAAGTTGGTCTGCTGTAAAAGGCATGCGTGGTCTCTCCACAATGGACAAGAAATTTAGCCAGTGCAGTACATCTGCCAGCCCGAGGTCTTTAATGTGCGTCACAACCGGATGCCGGTATGATGCTCATCTAGACCGAAACGGGCATGGGTGGGAATTGAACCTAGGAGCCCTGTATTCTACGCGCAGACTTTCGTCGCACATTCAGAGACGTGGTGCGCAAACACACTTGGTCACCGATCCCTCATGGCCAAAACCATAGACGCCTTCAAAATATTCTGTTCGCAACTGCAATGCCCCATATATGTCGAGGCAATAGTTCCAAGCCGGCAAAAAAGACTGGGGATAAATTTTCCAGGATTTTCCATGCGCCTCGTAGCCGATGCCGGTCGGTGCATTTAAAGGAATTTATTTGGCTATAAATGCGAAGCAGTCGGGGGCAGAAGTAGGTCACAGGTGACGGAGGTGTTGACGTCCTTAGGAAAAAATGGAAGCCGTTTACAATTCCCTGTAACGCCGGTTAGAGTGCAGCTCTTGAGGAGGAAGATGGAAGTGTACTGAGGGATAGGTGACTCCTTGAAATCACGTGACCTAAGGGGGCTCGCGTGACGTCAGGGGGGATCACGTGACCTCGGGGGTCACGTGTCCCCAAGGGGGTCACGTGGCCTCAGTGGGGTCACGTGTCCTCAGTGGGGTCACGTGGCCTGAGGGGGTCACGTGATCTGAGGGGGGACACGTGACCTGAGGGGGTCATGTGACTTCAGGGGGTCACATGACCTGGGGGTCACGTGACCTCAGTGGGGTCACGTGGCCTCAGGGGGGTCACGTGGCCTCAGGGGGTTACGTGATCTGAAGCGGGTCAAGTGACCTGAGGGGGGGACACGTGACCTAAGGGGGGTCACGTGACCTCGCGGTTACGCTGACGGCGACGGCGACGCCGCTTAAGCCGGAAACGGGCCCCTAAGAGCTGCGCTCTAAAACAAACATGTCCATGTTTAAAAGGCGCAGAAACCTCGGTTTCCCAATAATTTTTAAAAGTCGCGGAGTGGGTTTTGGGTACTGGCTGCGTCATTGTGTTTGTCGAAAGATTCTCGAGCATGACGAAGATATTTTGGTGCGCTGGTTACCGTCAAGCTCCGGAAGAGCAGTGTTGGCATTGGTGCTTCTGTGTCAAAGCCTTGCAACTCGTTACACGCCGTCGCGGTTTCAGTGCATTGCAGCACGATATTAACCTACACCTTGCTTACTAATGGGCCATTTTAGTTTAGCATGAACGCAGGCTACCGTACAGTGCGACGTTGCAGCCGGCAGGTTGCGCTGCACCTTTGAAGCACAGTTTTCAGTGTGCAACAGGAGCGTTGCCCTGCACACGGAATCATATGGTAATGCCATGCTAAAATGGCATATTAATGCCATTGATGTAATCATAAGGTTTTTTTTATTGCTCTATAAAAATATCAGAATATACTGTCTACTACACCTGTGTACCGTTATTTACAGTCACGACCTGCCTCGCAAACTGTCCGTTTTAAGCAGTTGTCACAAACTGCTAGCTTACACAGATGCATATAGCAATCCTGCGAGCATTGTTTATCTGCCTTTATAATTACCCGAAAGCAAGTATGTGTAGTGTTTTTTAAAAGTGCTCAGAGCAAACTGTCATGTTCCTTGTCGCGGCCTTTCAGCAGGTAAAACGCGCGCCCGTTCCCAGTGTCGATCGCTCGACGCACCGTTGAGCAAGCAGCTCTTTTTTGCTTTTGGGAAAGAACAGACTTTCCTTAGATCGTACCCAAGAGCTGTGCACTACTAGCAGGAGATTTTGTCGTCCCGTTGAGCAGAGATTGAGCTGGCGACCGCAGGACTTAAAATCCACGGCATATGCATGGCCAACTTTCTTGGACATTTGGTGGAATAAAACGTTTTCGAGGAAATATCAAAATTTTAATTAATTTACATTCTACAATACTCAGGCAATTATAGTCCTTGGGAACATTGCAATCTTTTGTGAAGAAAAGCAGAAATCAACAATTTTGTGAATGTAACCCGTGGGATTCACAATGCAAAAGAAAAAAAAACTTTGTAGAGCAGTCAAATAAAAATTGTATACTCATCCAAAAGGTTAATCACTGCTTATTGATATCTTACGAGCAACGTCTAAAATATTCCCGGGGAACATTGCAATGTTTGTTGTTGAAATTCTCATTTTGGTGCATGCGCCGAGGTGTTGATGTCCAAGAAAGTTGGAGATGCGATCAACGAAAAGTTTCCAATCAAATAAGACATTTTGGTCCCTTCGTGCAATGCTCTTACGATGTGGAATGGAACAATTCTTAATTAAACTCACTTTATTTTTTTGTTAAAACTGCATGATGCGCGAGCACGCCCAGAGGTAACACTATGGAACAAATGAAGCCCGCTGCTGTTTACCTCTGGATGATATCAAAGCCCGTCGAACCGGGCTCGATATATTCTGCGAGGATCGGAAATCTAAGGTGTACCAACTCATTTTAGTATGCTTCGAGATCTGAATTTTTTTTAGACACAAGCAACGCTTTTCACCATTAGCCTTGACGAGTCTTTGCCCCATCAGAGTGAACACACAGATGGCAACTGTGTCTGTGTTTGTCCATGCTGGATGACAGCAAGGTTATAGCTGGCTTTGAAGGGGCGCTGAGTGGGTTTTTTTTTTTTGTTAGAAAATGTTGTAAATTTGGATGTACCATATTTTCTGGTCTGCAACTTTCAGAAAATAGTTGGTCTAGAAGTCACACCAATGAGTTAAACAAGAAATATAACCCCCGCGGTAAATTTCCGCAGTGCACACACTTGTTTGGCAGAAAATAGGGTCAGCACTGTTTTTGGTATGAGTGATGCAATTGCAAGTCAAAGTTTTGCTGTGGCTCCACCCCCTGCTGCCCACCAAGCACACGAGAGGAGGGGAGGAAGGGGGAAAACTAGCAAAAGTAATGTCATTGGCAATGTCAAGTGACCCTTGATCGCCTTTCAGCTGGCTTGGAGATGCCAACGATAACGTCATGCCACACTCGACAGGTGGCAGAAAGCTGTGCCGCATGCTGCACATTTTTCTCTAATAAAAGCGGTTTTCGCTAAAACCTGCTCAATTTCAATCCGGTAACTGGCAACAGAGAAAAAGTTCTACAAAAATATGGTCCTTACTATGTCTCTTCTTTTTTTTTTCTTTGTTTCTGTTTTAGCAGCACGGGACATTGTTGAACGGATTTTTTTTTGATAATCTGAATATTCATTAAACCAAAACACCTCCTGCAAGAAATGTTGAATGAACAAAAATAAAAAAAGTGCATTGGCAGAACTGCCTGTATAAAAACTGGGTCCAAAGGATAAAGCATCGGCTCAAAGGTGCACTTAGCAATTTTTCTGTTTTTGGGTGGCTTTAATCTGCCTGCTTCACAAAGTTTGAAAACCGTTAATTACTCACACCAGTGCCCACCTTTGTGGATTTAAAGACTTCATGACGCAGGCAGGTCATGTTCGAGTAAAAAAAAATCTTGCCAAAAACCTTTTACCATTGCAGGGCATGTCTAATCTGTTTACTGTGTCTCCCTCCACCTCTTCCAGCATGACTAACGCAATGGATGCGATGGACGACAAAGGTTTCTGGCACCTGCTTGCCCGTTACAAATTCCACCTGGCAGTCGAAAACTATGGAAGTGACGACTACATCACGGAGAAGCTGTGGCGTCCTCTGATCGTCGGCTCCGTCCCAATTTACCACGGCTCCCCGTCCGTCGCAGACTGGCTTCCCAACGGTTCTCAGAGTGCCGTCCTCATCTCAAACTACACTGGACCCAAACAGCTGGCAGAGGTCATTAGGAGGATAGACAGAAATCACATGCGCTACGAGAGCTTCTTGGACCACAAGATCCATGAAAGGATCTCCAACCAGCGTTTACTCAATGCCCTTCGCCATCGAAGATGGGGTGCCAACAACGATCCTCACAAGCCAAACTTTGTTGAGGAGTTTGAATGCCTCATCTGCGAAAGGCTGTGGAAAAGACTGCACAGCTCGAACATTCGTTACATGGCCGACGAGACCCACTACAGCTGCGAGCCACCAAAGAGCATACTGAAAGAACATGCTGGAACTTTTTGGCCAGAATTGTTCAAGCAAGCCGAGTTGGAAGCAAGAGTGCTCGAGTCTCTCCTGCAGAGAAATATTCCATTTGGGGAGGCAGATGTGCAGGCTAGTGTACTTGAACTCTTACAAGCACATCCAACAGGGTGAGAACATCAAGCGTTGTTAACACAGGTACCGCATTCAATAGAGTTAGTGACAGATTTAAAACAATTTTTTAATCCCTAGAGGTAGTAGCACTTAGTGCAATTTGAAGTTTGACAGCCTTGTGGTCGTAACATTTGCTGCAACATGTTTGAGCCTTGTTCCTTTCTGTATGTTTAGGAACAAGGCTCATAAAATACAATTTCTAAATTCAAGTTTAAATACTGTAAAAACCTTTCATATTTACGAGCCCCCAATTCTCATGACTTCTAAAATTTGTTAACTTCGGTGAGTGTGATTGTTTCTATTGTTTGAAGAGTCGAATTCCAGCCTTTAGAATTTGTGAAACTCAATGGACGCAATTACCTAGCTGCCCAATTAGCGAAAAATCGGAGCCACAGAAATTAAGGGTTTTACAGCATAACCTGCCTGGCAAGGTTTCTTGTACATGTATTCGCATTATACATGTACCCCAAAGCTTAGGGGCATGTCCTATGTCCATAGAGGAACATTTACTTCGGACAGTGCCAACATTTTCTGAAAGTAGGCTGGATGTCAATCTTCGTACCATTCATACAGGTAGGTGCCAGATATCGGATTCCAGCAGTGTGCATTTAATACCTGGTCTTGTTTCAAATATTCGTCACTAGGCTGCAGGATTTTTCGCTGCTCATTCCGACGGTTGCGAGCTCCTCATTCTTCATATCTTTGCCCCTGGGAGGAAAATGGAGCATTCCAGAAAGGGGCCTCCGACCAGTGCCACCTTTAGCATTTCTGCTTGTAGCCCGTGCTTTGCTCAAACATGTGCATGCTGGGCTGTGAATTTAAGAACATCCAAGCCAAGAATGATTTAGTCTGCAAGTCGGCCCAACAGAAGACCCAAACCTAAGGGCAATACTGTTTTGATATACATACCGAGCATTTCTGCAAATACTTTTTGGGAACAAATTGCCGACACAGTGGACGTCTGGGTCTTTGATTTTGAAATTGGGGAAAATAAACATAGTTCCAATTCGAAACTTGATGACCATCAATGATCATAAAGTTGTTTTCATAGTTTTGTCAAAACACGTTTCGTGCAACTTTTCATGGATGCACTTTTTGTGAATGCTCTCTGCAATGTTTCGTTGGCAAACTATTTATTGTACTAATATGCTTGGATTGGATTAATTTTGTTTCCTGGGAACATGCTGAAGCCACAGCACTCACCCGGGCGGCTCCAGTAGGACAAAAACGTTGACGAGCCCCAATCCTAGACGCTTGGGGAAAGTTTAATCACGGGCCATAGCTTGCAGCAGGCCTCGTCTGAACCGCCACATGCACAGGTCCAGCAAGCTAAGCCATCGTCAGGATGGCGGCGACCGAGGCGTCGTGCACAGGAAGACTCTTTCGATGGAATGTGGCAAGGTGTTTGCAAAACGAATGCAGGAACCTTTCAACGAAAGGTCCTGCCTTTCGCTGTTCGATGAACTGATTGTCATTGCATCAAAAACCCCAAATCGGTCAATCTTAGGGAGACTTAAAGCAGATGCAAGTGTGTGGGTGCCCTAAAGTTCCTGCTCATGCTGCAGGCCGAGGACGTAAACGATTTTCTTATTCACGTTTTCGCATCGCCAGCCTTCAGTCTGCTGCACGAGTAAAAGGCACCTCCACACTTCCATAAACCTGCAAATCTCATCCAAATATAACAGACTGTGGTTTTTGATGGTGCTCAGCACATTTCTTATTGGAACCATATACAGGTAGAATCTGGAGGAGGCAAGCTCCAGCTGGGAATTAGTGGGTAGGTGCAAAGCTAGCTGCCTGTCTCTACTCTGAACACATTCAATTGCTGAATAGACAAAAGCAGCTAGCTTTGCATCTATTCACTAATCATTAGAGTTGGAGCTCAGCTATCTGAACTCCCCCTGCCCTCCTCCTTTCCCTTAGTTTCTGTGCATGTTTATTTTCACTAATAAGAGTTAATTAGTACATATTGGGTGTTTTCTTAAGTGGTTCTTGTAATTCCGACATCTGCTGTAGCTGGTGTTTCCAGTTCGTTGTTTCCCCTATCATTTTAGTTTAGGAATTGAGTATTTGCAGAAACACCCGGTGTACAAGTCACAAAATTCCTCCAAAAATTTGTCCGCCACCAGGTTTTCCACAGACGAACACACAGTTTGCGCCAGCATTTGCCCATACCTGGTGAGGGCACAGCACATGCACAGAAACCAGATTCGTGCGATGCACATGCGTTGGCCAACTGCTGCAACGCGTCAGTCGAAGACTAACTGCAGAAGTATACCTCTAGGGTTACATTTCTTGTCCAATTCGCCGACAAAAATATTGAACCTTGCTCTCACTTGCGCACATGTGGACTTTTCAATGCAGTTATGCCGAATACAGCCAAGAATATGCACACAACTCAAAACATCTCTATGCTAGTCAAGTATGGTCACTCTCGAACTGCCCTGCATTATATATCCTGCATTGTGAATAGAGTGCAGCTTGTTGCAGTGGGGTTCCCAGATTGCCAATATGACCCACTCCAAGTGTAAACGGTTAGTCTATAATTCTGCAGACTATAATCCATTTTGTATAGTATACGATGCTGTCGAAGCCACAGTGACAGCACGAGACTCACTTGTGCTCTCATACAAATGCATGCGAGGCGCTCATGCCAGTAGCTCGCATGACATTGTAAATTATGCACAAAACTAAGCATGGGTGCTAGAGGGATACTACAAAATTTCGGCGAATTTTTTGGTCTATATGTGTTCAACGGAGCAGTATCTCATCAGACACACCAATCTTGTTGAAAAAGACAAAAGGAATTTTAAAGCGGAATAAGCAATTAGCAAAGGGCACCTGGAGGATGTTGCTAAAGCCTTGTTCGTACTGCCAGTCTAGGAGCCTCGACAGGTAATGATAACCATCTTGCTTAGAACTATACATGCTTTGAACCCGGCGTCATCCCGCCAGCTCCCCGGTCACCATGAGAAAAAGGGGAGTAGGGACTCCCCTCCCACAGAAACTCTACTGTCTACAAGATTATAGAAGATTAACCAGTCACTCAAAATTCATAGAAAAGGAGCTTTGTGGTTAGTTGATCGCTGGCGTGCAACATCCTCTTCGGTGGCTGGAACGGCCAGGACATCCCGTTGATGTCAGCCTCGCCGCAGCTTCGCTCATACCAAGACAATCTAGGTCAAGATAGTGCTGGATGTCACATGCTCTCCACTGGCCGCTCTGCGAGCACTTGCTAGAGTGGGCCGTTCATAACGAAAAGTGCAGCCATCAGGCTCAAAATACAAGCGTGCGATTGTCATTTACAGAAATAGCGGATCATATTCAGCCCATTTCTGAACAAAACAGGTATATTTCAAATTTCGTGGAAGTAATTCCTTTAAGACATGTATTCCAGTGCAAAGAGATGCCCCAACACAAGCTATTGGGGTGTCAAGTTCCCTCGGAGGATGAAAAAGTTGAACCACAGTAAAACTCAATTTCAAGGAAGAAAATGGTTGACAAGATCTTTGATGCTTGTTGCACCAGGACCCGCAACTAGAGCAATAGAAAGCCGCATGTGTGCAAAGTGGATCCACAAACCCTATCTGGTATGCAGAGCCTTCCCCCAAAAAGCAATTATTTTATCTATTTTATTTTGGCAAATAAAATGTCTGGGCCATGGCCGAGAACTTTGAGCGATTTTGAATGGGGGACAGGAAAAACATTGACCCCCCCCCCCCCCAAGTTGACAACCCAAAGCATGCAAGTATACTTTCTCCCAACTTGCATGCTTGGAAGTTATAGAACAGATTACTTGAACACCAGCTGAACAGTGTCTGCAATAGCATCGTCACCACTGCTCACTCAAAAATAGTGCACTCAAAATGTTAAGTGTTTTGAGTGAGTTATTTTTTAGGAAATTGCATGCACCTGCAAAGTCTTTGCAGGGAAATTCTAGATGCTCGAGAAGTTGACTAAAGCCAAGACGAGCAGTTGGAATATGGCAGCTCTCGGGACTGCAGCTGCTTTGGTGGTCGTGAGCACGACCTCAGCGGCATCTTTGCAACCGCGATTGTCAAGACAGTACGACAATGCAACTTTAAAGACCTTTTCCGCTTACTCTCGCCCCCGACTGCCAAGTAGGCATATCCGGTATGGGCGACGAAAAAATATTAAAACGTTTCAACCTGCAAATAATAAAAAAATAAGGGGAAGACAAAACGAGAATGGGCGACTGTTGCGCTTATCTTCCGAACACATTCTATTGGTGTGGCGACAACAAAGCAATGTTTTCGCCCAAAGTGACGATATTTCAAGGTGGCGGCACCCTTGTGAAAAAGGTCTATACAGGAGTGCACGTTACAAACGGTTCGGAAGACCCAGCAAGGTGGGCAACGATCGCCGGAAACTCGCTGTTTGCGACGCGCGAACGTTTCTTGGCGAAGGTAGTGTGCAAGGATCAGCACACGAGACTTCTTCCTGAGCTGACGGAAGCGGATACAACCATCTGCGTCAGATTCTCTTCTTAAAACAAATCTAAAATGTTGTGGGCCAAGATGTTTTTTTCCCAAGTTGCAGCATTTTCTGTGTGGAATAAAAATTGTAACCATCTTGGCGGTGTCACAAACGCAAGATGCTTGAGGTGTTTGCATCGCAGCAGAGAAACGCCATTTTAAAACTTCTGCATAGTGTGCGCTATTCTAAAACTTTCTACTAGCCCTGAATTTTGTTTGCATGCCAGACGCAGAGCATCTCGCATGGTGATCGAAACACAAATGAAATCAATGGTATATGCTATTGTTTAACAATACTGTCGTTAAATAATGCAACCTCAGACATGTGCACTCCTGAAAGCAGTGTAAGCTAGTGTGTCTGCCTGACTACACATCCAAATGAAACATCAGCATTGGAGTATCAAAACCTAAAAGAGATGCATGCTTAGTTGTTTTTTGTTTTCTTTTCCTACACATAATAAACACAAAGCACAACCAGACCATTTGTCCAAGCCACAAGGTCAGAAAGACACCTTGCTCCATCTTTATTTTTTTTTTTTTCATTCACTAGATGGGCGTTTTCTCTTAAGTTACGGCTATGGGTTAATGATTTCACCATTATATAAAAACAGCGGATGACGATGAATTGCGGGAGGAAAAAGAAAAAAGAAAAAAAAAAGACATCACTGCTGCGTAGACAGTCATTTGCTTGGTCAAGCGTAAACTTGCAAGAAAAAAAAACTGAAATTGGACACAGAAACGCTGCATCAGGTTCTGCTCTGCAGTTCTCTGAATTTCTCTTTATATACAAGGTTGCAAAACTCCCACTGCCGTCTTGTTTGCCGTGTGACGCTCAAAGGCAAAGTGGGGGAGAGAGGAAAACTGCTTTGGGCAATTTTCGCCTCGGAGGTCTGTACACGGGAAGTGAACCCAGGCAAAAGCTACACTTTCCACCTCGAGGTGACGCTGCTAAATACACCCAATGCTCCCCCTCCCTTTTCTCTAAGGCCAAGGCATCACTCGGTATGTACAGAAGGCCCACAAATAAATAAATGTCTCAAGAGAAAACGCCAAAAAAAAGTTTGAGGAAAAAAAAAAAAAAACGACAGGGAGGGAGAGAAGCCTATTTTCGGCGCCAAAACTTTTTTTGGTATTTCCGTTTTCTTACAAAGAAAAAAAAAACCTTAAACATTTACACAAGCCAGACATGCTCACAAAAAAATTCAAATACCAAAAAAAAAAAAAAAAAAAAGCAGGGGAAGGGGAAAGGGGACAGTTGAATGACCGGCAAGGAAAGCTTCCATTTCCAAAAGTCATCCTTCCTTGGCTGCGAATCGCAGGTGTGCTTTTTTTTCTGTCTTAATCGTCACTTTTATGCTTAGTTTCCGTTCCTTGAAGGCTCCTGCCTCCCGCTGTAAACAGCAGCAAAGTGTCTTCTCCTTCCATGCATTGCACCTTCCCTCAAAACAAAAACAAATCCTACTACAGTTCCAAAACCCCAAGGAAGAAAAAAAATGCGGGGCACAAAAAAGTTTGGCAATATGCGCACAAAAAATTCCTAACAAAGAAAAAAAAACATCAGAAGCAGAAGGCACAGCCTTTGCGACGGTAATAAACGAGGCAGCTTCATTACCCTAAACTCCCGAGGAACGTAATAAACTCGTCAACATACATTAAAAAAAAAAAAAAAAAAAAATGTCGGGAGAAAGGTGTTAACGGGAGAGGGCCTAGTGCAAAGAGTGCGGACAAGACACCCGCTCTCTGGGGTTCAGTCGGGGGCAGGAAGCCACGCTGTGTTTAGAAGGCAGGGTCCGTCCACCGAGGGAGGGCTCCTCGTCAAGGCACCGCTCCTCAGTGCCTGAGCCCCAGCCCGCCGGGGCGGTTGCCGCGAGGAAAAGCGCCTCCACGACCGTTGCCCCTGCCCCCACCGGGCCCACCCCTCTGCATGACTCCGCCTCCCCGGGAAGACCCGCCCCCAGAGGAGAAGGGGGGCCGGCCCTCCGTGGCCAGCTTCTGCTTCGTCTTCTTCTCCTCCACGTTCACCCGGGTGTCGTTGATGTGGATCGGCTGCGTGAGAAACGGGAAAACTCGTCAGCGGACAAGACACGAGGGGACCGGCATCGATACGCTGCGCACCCCGCGAAAACTATAATATTGACCGCGACAAAACTGGAAACTTGTTCTTGCGGATGTTGCAGGAAAATTGCCTAAACTTTTTCGGGACAGTCGCTGTTACAATTCAAACGACCGAATTAACCTAAGCATTGAAACTCGCTCACAATTTCGGGAGCTTCCTAGAAATGAAGGAGGGTGTCTGGTCCGCCCTAGCAAGGAGGCAAAGATCACCTCGATCGACATAAATACTCTCGAGCTCCCCTCTCTGTGTGCACAGGTGGTCGAGCTCCTCCTTGCCCACCCCTCCAGTCGCGCAACCTCCCCATCAACCAATCGGCGTCGAGCATCTCGCTTCTCTCCCACCCGTCAACCAATCTGTGTCAAGCATCGTGGCCATGTTTTTGTCCGGGCGTTGCTTCTGGGCTTCACGAAATGGCAAACACCTAGCCAAAGAATGTTTCGCATTGAAAGCGTCGATTCGACTGCGAGCATGTCAGCCAGTATGAAAACCCACCAAATGGGCACCTCTGGGTCAAAAGGTTTCTTTGGGGCCACCAGGGTGGCATGCGAGGTATAAGTACAGTAATCTCTCACTATAACGAAGTCAACGGGATGGCAAAGAAATTCCGTATAAGCGGTAATTTAATAAAAGCGATGGAGCCAAAAAAAAAAACACATTGACAGCAGCCTTGAAGGTGCACGGGAACACTGCGGAACACTCTGACTGTATATTTAGTCAGACAAACCTTGGTTATGAACATCTGGGCATTAATTATCCTTGAACTGCTCTAGGCATCACAAGGACACTGTCATCGTCGCTGCACTCCACTTTGTTTCGAAGCAACCGTAAAATGTTTCGAGTATCCACAGTCGTCGGCGTTTCTTGAGGTGCCTCACCAACGTCGCTTCGTGTTTACCCTGGCCGCACGCAAGGTCTACGATCGCAGCATCCGTGGCAGGAGCAACAACGAGAAAGTTTGCATCGCAAGCGTGAACGAATCAAAGTTATCCTCAGTGGCTTTGCCAATACGTTTTCACACACTCCTGTGGAGGTTGTTGCAGCTATGGAAATCGTGCGCCGGCTCGGGAAGCATGCTCACGAGAGAGAAAATACGACGTGAACGAAACAGTTGGCGATCTTTCGGCTCCGGGTTGCTGGCACGCTTTCTACTGCATGCAAAACCTCAAACCCGTCCAATATCCGTTGCTTGTTCTGCAAAATGGTGGACAGTGTCGAACAACCAATGGCGGAATGTAGAATTCTTTGGCGGTTTCAGACTTGGGCCGGCCACTTTTCTCAACCTGAAGTGACTTTCAGTAAAATCCCAATCCTCCAGGATACGACGCACTTGCGCATCTAGTACGCCACAGGTGCGTGCATCCAGGGCTCCTGAAGGGATGATTGCCTCTGGGCTCCTCCATCTTGACCCGATTCCAACAGGAGTCGGGGCAGCGTCGGCCGCGGGCGCCATAAGTAGTGTCGGAACTCAAGACGCTGATCCCTTCACGCGTCGGTGCATCGGCATCAGAAGCAGCGCTCTGCCAGCTATGCGCACTCTGTCAGCTTTGCGCACTGCCCTCCATCAACCATTTAATCCGCTTTCCTGGCTTGCCGTTTGCCTCGGTGGAGAAGGGGGAGAGAACGCAAGGGTCTCCCGTGTGCCTCCGTGTACGCTTCCATGCTTATGGCACCGCGACCTTTGTAATAAGCATGGTCGGCTGCCGATACACTGAATAATCCAGTTAAAAATGTGTCCATTTCTGTCAGGACCACACTAAACTTCGAAAAAAGCAATAATTTAAACAAATAGATTTCGTAAGACGAGGTATTACTGTAGGAGCTCTCGTGACATTTGCAAGTCGAAGGATGGCCATGACAAGAACTCCCACCTTCTGCCGCTCGCAAATCTTTCACAATCAGTCAGACGAACGTCGGGCAACAAGCAGAACGCAAATAGCACAAAGGCCTAGGCACGGTCTCCTCGGTTTTTGTGCAGAGTGTCACAGATGCGAAAACCGCGTCGAGTGCCGTGGTTTCGTACGTGAAAGACACAATAAAAGTTTAGTTTTAACACTTTGCCGTGCTCGGCTAACTCTGCTAACGACCTTTCCGTGTTCGGCGATCGGACCGAGCAGGGAACCGCTCGACCGTGTACACCTGCATTTTCATTCTTCGACCTAACAAGAAGCCCATCCCTCAGTTTTCCTCAATCAATCCCCCAATATGTGCAGGTGCTCGCTCTGTATTTTACACAAGTGCACGCCATCAGAAAACATTTAACCTTTAAGAACACAACCATCTGAAGATGCACTGCAATAGTTTACACGACGCATCACAGCAACGATGCTCTGATCACGCAACACCCACCCTTACTCGTTTCTAATGGAATTTATGCTTCGGGAAGAAACTTCCCGACACCCTCACCAAACCAATGGTGAACCACAGAGAGAGGCCAATCAATCTAAGCGGGCCAATGAGAATAAACTTACCGTGTTTTTCAGAACTGCCTGGGCTGCTTCCGCACTGTCAAATATGACGAAACCGCAATTCTGGAAAAAAAAAAGAAGAGATAAATAGGTTAACGTCGCTCAGTTTACAAGTGAAGTCCCAGAAATTCAAGGCATAGCACAACAAAGTTCTTTCTTCTTGTCACAGCTAATGCGACACTAAAGTGAACTACACTCCGTTTCACCACACGACTGACCACGACAGACGCTAAGAGCCACCAGAGCTCTTTCGTAGCCAGGAGCGTGTCAAATGGCCTGGTTAGGTGGAACTAAAACATTAAGCTTGGAGTCACGTGGTCCGAGTGAAGCGCCGCATTAGCCATTCTGGCGCGTAGCATCCGCTGCGGTTCATCTTAAAGCTGGGCCAGATGCCCGTCGTTGGTTTGGCACATAAAAACCCCCCCATCTTAAAGCTGGGGTGGAGACTCGTGGAGACAACACTGCGAGATGTGCTCAAGGCGGCCACCAGCGCCATGATGCCAGATATTGAAAACCTGTCTGCTAGATATTGAAAACCCGCGCAGTTTCAATAAACATGTCTTTGACCCGCGTCATTGAGTTGTGCACCCCCGATCTTAAAGGGTAACTCCGCTTCATTTTTGTTCTTGAAAAAAACAATGCAGTCTTCTTCAGTATCACCTAGGATGGTCACACATCAAATGTATTACGACGTAGTTCTGTCTAAATGTGTCGGCAAGCTCGGCAAACTTTGCAACTTGCCGAAATCGGCCGACTCGAGCGGGCGAATTACGAAGCAGCCAACAGCGCAGTCAAGGCTACGGCGTGGGCGAAGCCAACATTGAGCTAGACGTCATCACCATACCTGCCAACCTGTGGACTTTCAAATTCGTAAAAGTCACGCGGCTGCGGCGGGGGGGGGGGGGGGGGGGGGAAGGTTACGCGAAGCGATGTGCAGCTTAACGACAGCCTGGCCAGCGTGCGAAATGCTTACATCACACGTGCACGTGCTACACAATCCAAACTTCTCTTGCTTTTTGGGCGGCACGAAGCACGGAAATTTTGACGTGTAGGACTTCAGGAACACCTGAAGGTTTTTGAGGTTTCGGGTTCGGCATTGCGCCGCAAAGCCACAGTGACCAGGAGAATGCTACAGTTACACGTGCAACAAACACAGACGCCGTACTTCTCGCCTCAAACTGGCCGAAACAACGAGGCCCAACAACGTCTGAACACGCCGAACCAACGTGCACCCGTGCACTGCCAAACACACAAACAAAAGCTTTGAGCTTTGGATTGGTTTTCGATCCGTGGCCACTGGATAGACGGATAGTAAAAACCACGACGCTGCTGTGGACGGTACCTATCGCCCTCTTGTGGCGGTGCAAGATACCGCCAACAACGGAGTTACAAAAACAAAAAAAATTAAAAAATATATATATATATATGTTTTTCGTAAGATTTGAAGCAAGATTCGTAAAATTAGTCCCAATTCATACATTTTATGAAAAATTCGGAAGAGTTGGCAGGTATGCATCACCATTGACCCCTTTTGCTCGTTTTTACTTCTCCGGGCAGGCGTAACGGGTGATGTCAGCTACGTTTCCTCTCGGTGCTCAGTGGTGTCAACATGACTGGCGTAATGCGCCTGCGCAGCACACTTATTGGGTGCCGTCCCGCGTCCCCCGCGTCACAACCGCTGTCGTCGTCTCACTGTTTGGGATTATTGTCTCTCAGAGTTTTGTCCACACTACGGACACGTGCGCAGACTTATGCTGCAGTTATGCAGACGCCCCAAGAATGTCACAGACAGCAAAACGTAGTGAAGAGTGTGATGTAGACGACGATTGCACCTGTAACACGCCTGCCCCAATTCCAGCTATCGTTGCGTAAAAGATCACGCGACATCCCGTACCACGTGATAACCATGTTCTTGACGGCCCAAGGCCAATGCTGGCGGACGGAGCCGAAGTTTCAATATTTGCTAGTGCTCAAAAATTAGATTAAAAAATATATATCCCATTTGTCACGAAACAAATGACGTAGTGTATTTTACTAGGGTTTTTCAATGCGAAATCACTTACCATCCCGAAATCTTCGGAACTGAGTGGAGGTGCCCTTTAAAGGGGCATGAAGTCCATTCTGAGATTGTCCTTCTGTGGCAGTGATGGAAGTGCCATTTGACCTTTTGGAGCAGGCCTTGTAGCAGGCAAAATGTTTTCGAGCAGGTAGTGGCCCTTTTGGAACAGTGTCTGGCATATGTTGGCATATTACTTGAAAATTAAATAATGCTCCATTGCTATATAACACCTATCTCTATTATTGAAACACAGCGCCTGACACCTTGTTAAGCCAGGATATATAAAATTCAACAAAGTAAAAAAAAAAAAACTTTTTAAAATAAAAGTTTATCTGCTTGTCAGATAAAAAATACAATAAATATGTCACATTGAGTTATGATGGTACAGGATACTTAGTTTTATCAGCCTGCACTTCTTTTAAGGTATCTGCAGCAGCATCTAACGACTCTTACTGTTGTGGAATGTTTTAGTTCAGATTATAGAGTTGTCTTTCAGGCAGCAGCTTCAAATACAGTTAAACCTGGATGTAACGAACCTGTATACAACAAAATCCTCTATTTAACAAACTTTTTCAATTCCCCGACGTGATCTTCATAGAAGCGCTCGTATTTGTGAACTCCATGCTACGAAGCGCTCGTACTGGATAACCTTGATTTAATGAACTCGCTCCGGCGCAATCTCCATGTTTTTTTTTTTTCGGACTCTTATAATTCAGATTTGTTCGATATTTCGGACGTAAAGGCGGAACCGTGACTTACCCCATAGAAATAGTCTACATTGACGACCAATGTTACGGACAGCTTGAAGTCCGAAAGTTCGATTATTTTGACAAAATCGTCGTGAGCGATCAGCGGAAAACACCATCGAGAAGCGGCCATTTTGAATTCTATGTTGGCTGCAAATGGATTGGCTTGGTTCGGCATTGCTACTGGCGCTACTTGAGTACTCCCGAGTCCTACCACTAGGTGACGCTATGCTAGCCCTTTTTTTTCCAATTTAGCTGCACGACATCATCATCATCATTTTGTTTTTACCTTTTTTCTTCGCGTCACCAGTCGACATTTTGTGCTCGTGGTTTTGCAACTCTTGTCTCGTTCACACAACGCTCCCTTGACATCATGGCCCCATCTCTTCTTCTGCCGCCGCAATGCGTCGTCATGAAGCGCAGAAAGTACTCAACCATAACGCTAGAAAAGAAGGCAGCGATTCTCAAGCTAACAGAAAGTTGCCGAAAGGAAACGGAGGAGTAACGTGAAACAAGGCACTATTTACAGCTCTTTTAAGCCCACTTGGAAATAATAAAGGCAAGTTTTTCAATCTGCTGATTTTTCAGACTGCTCTATTATTCGGACGATTTTTCGGTCCCTGCGAAGTCCGAATAATCGGTCGGCGACTGTACCTAAAATGCAGATATATTCTTATCCAATTGCCACCAAAGGCGAGCAACCTTTGGTGCATATCGCGAGGGAGGTCTTGGATGCCATCGATGTATTACGCCGGGTCGCCGGCTCCCAGTACGACGACAACGCTTTGGTGTCCTTTGAGCACTGCGTGCTGCCTTCGCACGCGCGAAAGACACAAGGCAAGCTAACAGACTTTTTTTTCACTAAATAAATGACGTGATGAGTTTGCCCACGCAGATTTTTAATTTCCGCTTTCTTTCCACGTGTCCTTTACAAGTTTTTCCCGAAAAACTGCATGTAAAGAAATCCTCCATATAACGAATTATTGCGAACTTTTATCAATTTTGTTATATGCAGGTTTAACTGTTGCGGTATCTGATATTCGCTAAAAAAATGCCGATTCATTTTCGATGTGCTGGCGAAGTCACGATCTGATCATGGCGAGTTGACCAGTTGAGTGTGCTCCATGGCATGCACCGACGCGATGCAGAGAAGCGACACCCGCAGTGCAGACACCGCAGTCGCGCAGTGCTTCGTGCTCCACAAAGGACGGTGAGGCTTTACCACGCACTACATCCAGAGTTTGGTGCAACTCAACTATACTTCGTTTCAGCTTCTGTGTGAGCGCAGCCGAAGCTACAAGCGCGCGCAAGGAGCCCGTAACAGAGCCCGTAGCGAATGCGGCCATTTCCAAAAACTTTAGGCAGGTTGATGCGGTGTTAAAAAAGGCCAAGGCCAGAGCTATGGAGATGACCTAGCCTTAAGTCAGTTGGGGGGTTTATCAAGAAATCCGAAGGGTTACATCTCGAGATATTTTTTAGCGCCAAAACGCATAATGACTTGTGCCCGTTTAGGGCTATCGTCACTGAAAGGGGCACGTGGCAACGGCCAGATGGCGACGATTATTCAAAAACAGTTGGCTTCGTTGGACAAGGGGAACCCTTTCAGGGTGGCCAACTCTGAGGTGGTGTGCAATTTTTTAAAAGATAATGAGGCCAAGAAATGGTCGGCCTTTAGCGTTGATGTTGAGGATTTATTTTATTCGCTACGTCAGGACCAGTTGCTTGCCTCTGTTAGAGACTGTATTGAAACAAACGGGGAACTGGGATTTAGAAACTCCAGTGGACTGGCTATGGAAGACTTCTTAGAGATATTGCAGTTTTATCTGCATTCCATGGTTGTAGGCTAGAACAATTCTTTTTTCCTACAAAAGCAAGGAGTGTGTATCGGGTCCTGTGTTGCTCCAATTTTGAGCGACATTTACCTATCCGGGGTTGATAGGGCTGTGGCGTGTGCTTTGGGGGCGTCGACTGTAAAAAGGGTGTTTCGATATGTAGATGATTTTTTGGTTTTGTATGAGGGAGTAGAAGAAGACAATACGCGGTGTTTAGTTTTAGACGCATTTGAGAAGTGTGGTGGGGGGCTGAGATTTACGTGTGAAGAGCCAAAGGAAGGGGCTCTACAGTTTCTTGATTTGACGATGTACCTGGGTGATAACACTATATGTTGGTCGTTTTGCCCGCGCTCCAAAAAGGCGATACTGGATTTCAAATCTTCCTATTCAAAGGTGGTTAAATGGTCCATAGCGGTGTCATGCCTTGGGTCGGCACTCAAAAAATCATGTGCCCAGAAGATGACCGACAGTTATAAAAAACAAATCAGTAGATTGAAGGAGTCGAAATTCCCGTCGACACTCTTCGCGGAAGTAGCCAGTTCACTTCTTAAGAAAGCTAAGGGGGCGGAGAGGTCGAGGCCGGAAAGGGAAAAGAGGCGTGTGGTAGTGGTCCCCTACCTCCACCGCGTTTCCCATAACCTGAAACAAGTTGGCGGCAGATATGGAATTCCAGTAGTGTTTTCGACGCCCCAAAATATAGGCCAGATATGTTCTAGGATTAGTGCGGGGGTAGTTGGTCATTCCAGCGCGAAGTGAACCAAGGCGCACAGAAAACCCTTCGTCCCTTGTGTTTCGTGTGTGGCATATAAAATTCCTTTGTCGTGTAACAGGTGCTACGTGAGGCAAACGGGAAGATGTCTGAATGACAGATTACGTGAGCACTCATATTCGCTCGGAGCTATGGTTGGGGGACTTTTGCCCGTTCATTGCAGAGATTGCCAGTGTCTGCCTGACTTTGGCAGAGTCACCGTTCTGGGAGCGCACAAGGATAGGGTGACGAAAGAGATCATTGAAGCCTTCTACATTCTGTGTCATGGTCATTCATGTGTTAGTGAACCGTCGTTGGCGCTGTCAGCCAAAGAAATTTCCTTCCTGCGGCAAAACATGAGTCACGTAGTGAATGGGTAGTTTATTGACACGCTTCACGGTTGGCGAGAGTGGTCCTTTGGTTTTGTGCAATCTCTTAAGATACTGTGTATGGTTTTTCTGTCTTTGTTTCCTTTATTAAAATTCTTCAGTTGCAAGTACAGCATTGTCCTGTCGTGTTTGTTCCTCTTCGTAGTCAGTGTTTTCTGAGCTGTTTTCCCCATCATGTATAACGTCAACCAACTGGCCGAGTTCTCCAAACTTATTCTGATGTCTTTAGGACTGCCATCTCTAATGCACAATTCTAAAATCCTTTGTTTTTCTTTTACATAAAATATTCCCCCAAAACACCATACTCTGTCACGAATCTGCCATCCTGCTACTCTTCTCGTATTAGCCGCAGTTGTAAGGTCAGCATTCTCAATCATAAAACGTAATCTTTTCCACAACCTTTTTGTACTTCAAATGTTGATCACTGGAGCCGCTTCCCCGCTTCGATCGCCAAGGTTACATTGCTCCATTTAGGAACCATGGGGTTCCCTCTATCCCTACCTAGGCCTAGCTTCAAGCAGGCCGTGAGAGTCGTCGTCACCAATGGCGTCGGCCTCCCTGTAACAAGGAACCACGAGGCCAAATTCTCCGAAGGGGCCGGTTCTCTCTTGCCCACTTTGGGTGAATGCGCTACCGGCACACCCTTGCGAGTGATTATGCATGCGTCACGTTTTCGAGTGACCTTTTACCGGCCTCCCCGGGCGCAACCTTTTCCCGCAGGCTACTAGTCTTGTGCGAATAGTGGTTTTTGAGTTTGGAGCGAATTCAAAGCGAATAGCGGTTTTGGTCAAATATTTTCGAATAGAATATCGAATAGTTTTTCCACGCCTTTCACTACCGTAACATAATGCTTAGACAAAGCCCCACCGAAGCTTGTGAAGGTTGTTCCACCTGTTCATTTATGAGCCAAGTTTAATCTATCTATATTTATGAACTGTGACCTCAGAAGGTCTGATGTCTTGGGATGGTAAGTAAACAACAAGTTCGACATAAAATGAATCCAATGGAAATGGCCAACTATACCTAATTGAGTGAATTTACAAATCTTAAATACTCTATTTTTAACTTTGAGTCAAAAAAGAATGACTCGCGCATGATGAACGCAGGTTGTAAGGGCATCTCTGCCCAACATATACTCTTGCAAAACAGTCAGTTTAATTTTAAAACTTTTACTACAATGTAGATACAATAAAACCCTTAATGTTCGCGAGCCCTTCATTTTCGCGAATATCGCGAATTGAAAAATCCGCAAAACTTAAAGGCACGCAAAAAATTTCGGTCTTCAAGAATTTCAATGCAGGTCTCTGGAATTCGCGAAATTTAGTGGCTGCAATATGCCCTCTGTGACCGATTCGCGAAAAATAGGGGCCCCGAAAATAGCGAGTTTTACAGTATACACCATTCACAAAGTTTCCATTTATTTTCATATACAGCCGACACTTGTGCACCATCCCGCTTTGAATGTATGGTTTTTGTCCACGCACGCAACTGGGATATTCATACTTTTTCAACTGTTTATCGCAGTGGGTTACTCCGTTGAGTGCGCTTCTTACCGAGCACCAATGTGATGTGGAGAAGCAACACCCGCGGAGCTTGCTTCCGCACGTATTGCTTCTCCGCAGTGCACCGGTGCTCGGTAAGGAGCGCACTCAACGGGGCTAACCCACCGCAATCAACACTTCGAAAAACGTGACTAGTGAAGTTTTTTTCGAAGCAAATATCGAATAGTGTATTATTCGAAACTACTATTCGAAATTTCGAATATTTGCACAACCCTACAGGCTACATAAGCCGGTTACCACCTGTGGCCGGGGCTCTTGGTTAGAGGGGGGCTACGCTCGACCGAGCATTCATCGTTGTTTTACGGCTGCCCCTTTTCCGTGATCCTGCCAGTTACGCCAGCACGGACCCCCCCCTGGTGATCCTGTCAATCAAGGCAGCGCCAACCTTATTTCCCTTTTGTACTGCCTACGGGCGCAAGCTTATGGCGCAAACCAAATAAACACGTTCTACGGTATCCCTGTGTTTGGTGTGGTCTCCCGTCCACCAAAGCCTAACGACAGTCAACCGACGGACCCAGCCGTAGCCGCCATAGCAGCGGACTACGGAGTGGCTGTTGCCTCACAGCGATCAGCAAGGTAAGTCGAAACCCACATTTTGCAACCGACGAGTTACGGACTGGGTATCTGCCTCACCGAGGACTTTGCAGTAAACTAGAATCCCACACTGTTCAAGGGTGCTCGTACGAACGTACATATTTTGTCACTGCCATCCATAAGCCCACTCTCACTTCGAAGGCATTTCAATCGAACAAACACATAAACGCCTAGTCCACCCACCGGCACGGTCTTCCCTCCAGAGGTCATCTTGCTGCTGGGCTTGGGGTTGATGCGGAACTCGAGGACGCGGCCAAACTCCTCAAAGCGCTCTCGCACTTGGTCCTCCGTGATCGAGTGGGGCAGGTTGCCCACGAAGACCTGCTGCACGTCCGGGTACTGGGGCTTGGCCCCACCCCCCGGTCGTGGACCCACAGACCCCAGGGAGCCCACAGAGTCGTCCCCGCCTCCGAGGGGCGGCCCGTCCCCCCTTGGAGCGGAGGACACCTCCTGTGTGGAGCATACGAGACATCTCTCGCAACAAAGCCATGGATGCGACAACCACCTCGTTACCGTCCAACGAACCTAGCGGGACAGAAATGCACCGTCTTCAGTCTTAGCCCGAGGACTTACAGCGGACGCCTCAGAGGCTTACTCGGCATTCTGCAATGCCCGTAGTCAACGAGACATTGAGTATGCGGCAAAAGCTCCGCCAAGTGTTATATCATGGGTATAGAACTCACACTGAAAACGGTTTTGTAGTTTTGGTAGATAAAATTGAAAGCGCAATTTATGCCTTACCCTATGTATCTGAAAGTGCCAGACTTGTTAATAGAAGTCCTCGGATGCTTTGACACACTCTTGCGAGCATTGAACACCTATACCCACAAACAGCTCAAGAAATGCGGGAAGTGGCCATGTCCGTGCTTACGTTTCGTATGCCCACAGTTTTTGCTAGTGATGGACCGAATCTGCCGAACTTAAGATTCGGCAAAGTTCGGCAAATGTCTGCACAAGCGCGAGAACGCGACAGGGCCATGGATTGCAAATGGACACCGTGCGGTTACCATCGTACAGTGTAGTACAACCAGCAGTCAAAGCGAGGTGTGGAATAGGCGAAATGGTAACTGTGCGTTTGTCCACGGTCCACTGCGTAAAAAAGTTATGCGTCACATTCTGGATGACGTGATTTTCATTTGACCTTTCCAGTCATGCAACAAGGTAGTTGAAACATTAACTGACAATTAGTTTAAAGCACTCCTCACAATTATAACAATCCTGTTTTCGGCTCACAAGTAGTTTGTGGCAAAATAAAATATTGCTTTTTAATCAGTGCTATTTTGCGGTTTTCATGTATCTGCATAAAACTAATCACAGAACTATCATGCTCGGCGTTGCACATCCGACACTCCTAACACTTCCCATCTTCCTAAATGTTTGTGTGCGTCCTAACATTAAGGGGGAACACTACCCAGAAAATGTAACTTCTGTACCGACTGTTTGATTTCAATCAAATTTGCAGTGGAAGTTTATATGAGTGGTAGAACCATCCCTGCCAAATTTCATTGTCCTATGTCAATTTTGAAACTTGTTACGAATGTTACAATATGGAAGTCAGTGTGTTCGCTTAGGGAAACTATTGTTTTAAAATAAAAAAAAATTGATTTCTATGTGTAATATAGACGAGTTATACCCCATAGCACAGACCCAGCTAGTTATTTCGCTATATTGCATTGCTTTCCATAAGATTAAAATTTTTTTTTTTTATCTCTCTCTAACCAGCCAGGCATGTTCCTCATAAAATTCTGCCCCAGAAAATCACTTACGAATAATCCTCGATTGTGTAATAGGAAAACAAGTTTTCTTAAAGTGAAATGTATGCCGAAAAGTGGAACGGAGAAAAATGCATCCAAAGTGCTGAAACCCCTACCTTTTCTTTAGCACTGGAGGACCGAAAATAATTTACAAAAAATTAACCATGCAGTGTAAGCTAATGAAATTTTCTGGGAATACTCTCTAGATATTGGTGGATGTAAATATGGCATTTTTTCAAAAAAGACATTGCAAATATTAGACGCACACTTTCATGCGAAGCTGACGACAAGCGACTGAAATCAAAGGCCTGCATATTTACAATAATGTTGTTACCTCTCCTGGTAAAGGCTCAGGAATCGTTGCATTTGTCTTCGCATACAAAACTGACTCCCAGAGAAAGTAAGAATGCAGTGTCATTGCATTTATGTTGACAATGTACACGCACTTGCAGGCTTGTGCTGACAAGGCCTCAAGGCCAAAACCCTTCTGCTCAAGATTCGTAACTGACCACTACTACCCAACCTTGTTGTCACGCCACTTTTCTGTAAAATTGCCAGTAAACACACAAAAACGACACCAATACAATTACCTTGTAGAATATCACCTTATTTAGTAATAACTGTGTCAATGTGCATTAGACATTTCATACAAGAAAAAAAAAGAACTTCGCTGGGAAATTTAAAGATGAACGTTAAAGGGACACTGACACCCCCCCAAAATTTTTTTTTATTTTTTGCCAGGCGCTTCATTATGGTGTCGGAGGACTACCCAATAAATATTTTGCAACAGAGTAGCGTATTTTTTTAATAAAGCCAAAAGACGCAACTCCTCGAAACCGAAACCCGACGGAGGTCGGAGAAGTGGAGAGAAGAGAGTGAGTGGCGGAAGTCACGTGGCTACACCCTACCGTGCGTTTTTTTTTTCTTTCTTTCTCCTCTCCGGTAGCAGACGACAGGACATGCGGCGTGCGATGGGGCGTGCAGGAACTGCTCGCCGTGCAATTTTTTTTGCAGTTATGTTTGTTCCGCTCGTTGTTCTGTACTCCAAGATGAGTTGTTTTGTACATTGAGGAGTTGGAGATGAGTAGTGAGTGCCCGTGGTGAATTTCCATGATCGGCTTCGAAAAGAATACACCCAAGATGTTGCGTGAAGAGCTGGCTCACATTTCCTGAATCCGAAAAACAGTGGCATTGTGCGACAGAGTTTCCGAAAGATCAACGGGATCGGGACCAACGGCTGGCTGCAATTCCTGTAGAACATATACGGGCACCTCGGAAAGCGGACGTTACCCGATTTATATGCTCCTTGCATTTTGTGGAAAGTGATTACATTGAGCTCGCAGGTGTCAAAACGGAAATCCCATACCATTTAAATCAGCGAAGTATTGTCCACAACATTAGTTTGTTATTTTTTTTGTTTGTTTCTTCAGTGATGATTGTAAAAAAAAAAAAATTATATGTAAACATCGGAAAATGTTTGAAGAAAAAAAAAAAAAAGTTTCACGGGGGATTGAACCCGGTCCTACCGCGTGTGAACCGGACGTCTTCCCCACTGAGCTACTGGGGCATCGCTTTTCTGTTGGATCTCTTTCCTTAGTAACAATTCAGCCGGTAAACTGTAAGTTGGAAAGTTTGCTGTCGATTTTTCTCCAGCAAAAGCACTCCTGGGTCGAAGTCGAGAAGCACCACGCTTTGGGGACATTCGCACCTAGTAAAGAAATCGTACGCGTGCATATTGAACTCGAAGTAGACACGTCGTGCTTGACGTTTGCGCGAGCGATGTCTTCAGCCACGAGAAGGGAGCGACGGCTCGGCGACGTCTTCGTGCAAATCGGCTTGGTGGCCGGGCGTGTCGTATGGGATGAATACCAATTCTTTTGATCAGTCCCAAATTTCTCTTTTAACGGTAGACAGAATTCGCCGGTACCGCGAACGACAGTTCTGAAATAGAGGTCCCACGCCCGTCGTCCGCTGCCATCGCCGTCCCCGCGAGTCCCACGATACGCGAAACGACGAACGCACAGAATGCTTCCGGTTGTCTGTGGAACTTTTTTTTTTCAATCAACGTATTTACAGCTTTTTAGAAGCCACAAAAAATGGGTTTCATTTTTTTTTCTATTTTTAATAATGAGTGTGTGCCTTCAGTGACCCACGACTTTGATTAAATTTGGTGGTCGCATCGATACCTTGGAAAACGGCCCGTGACCGCGAAAAAGAGAGTGAGCGAGACTCGAACCGGCCAGTTCTTGATCGGCGGTTTTCGGGCGGAAAGAAACCGAATTTCGAGCCGCAAATTCTGTTCTGGGTAGTTGAGCTCTCATATGTCACGTACAACTAAAAACCTCAGCGAGCATAAATACCCTGTCAGTGTCCCTTTAAGTCTGGTACCAATGTATTTTTGCCGAATCTTTAGAAAAGTTTGGCAAAAGTTTGGACCACTACTAGTTTTCACACGACGATTCGTTATTTGGCGTTCTCAGTGATGGAAGCGCCATTTGACCTTTTGGAGCAGGCTTTGTAGCAGGCGAAATGTTTTGGAGCTGGTAATGGCCCCTTTGGAGCAGGGTCCAGCATATATTGGCATATTACTTGAAAATGAAATAATGCTGCATTGCTACATAAAGCCCATCTCTATTATTGGAACACAGCGTCTGTCACCTTTTTAAAGGGGTACTCCACCGGTTTTTTCATTGTCTCCCATTTGCTTGAAATTTGGCTAAACTAACCAACAAACATTGCTAAAATAGTATCCCAAATATTAGGTCAAAATGTTTTTTTGCAAAGTTACTGAATTTACAGTTTTGGTCTTCACCATGTTTTTCAAACTGAAAGTCTCTACTGGCAACAACAACTAAGTGACGTCAGTGGAAGGCACGGGTTAACTTTTTGGACTACAGAAGTTGTTCCCAACGGATTTGAAACAGTTTCATGGTGTCAAATGAGTGTTTTGGAAGCTCGCTCCCGTATCCGCGCTCCAGTACGGAACAAATGATTGGCATATTCTATTTTTAGACTACTTGCTCGACTGGCAAGCCTGCCTGCCACTGACGTCACGGCACTGAAAAGTGCGCGAATATTTGAATATTGGATTTTGCACCATTTTCATTTGCCGATTTCACAATACCTATTATGAATTTCGCGATGCTAAATAGCATACCGGAAAGGCTAAAGGCCAAGGAGTCAGAAAATATAGTTAGTTGAGGTAGCTCAAAAAATCGGTGGAGTACCCCTTTAAGACAGGATATATAGAATTCAACAAAATAAACACACAAAAAAAACATTTCTTAAAAATAAAGTTTATCTGCTCGTCAGATAAAAAAATACAATTAAATATGTCACACTGAGTTCTGATGGTACAGGATATTTAGTTTTATCAGCCTGCACTTCTTGTATCTGCAGCAGCATCTAACGACCCTCACTGCTGTGGAATGTTTTAGTTCAGATTAGAGTTCTCTTTCGGGCAGCAGTTTCAAATATTGCGGTATCTGATATTCGCTTCAAAAATTCCGATTCATTTTTGATGTGCTGGGGAAGTCACGATCGGATCACGGCGAGTTAACCCGTTGAGTGCGCTCCTTGGCATGCACCGAAGCGCTGCAGAGAAGCGACACCCGCAGAGCAGACACCCCAGTTGCGCGAGTCGGGCAGTGTTGTGATCCGAAAAGGATGGTGAGGCTTTACCAGCACTACATTCAGAGTTTGGTGCAACTCAACTATAGTTTGTTTCAGCTCCGGAGCGAGCGCCGCCGAAGCTACAAGCGCGCACATAGAGCCCGTAACGGTACCCACACTGCAAGAGCCCACGCGCGAGTCAGGAATGCACAGAGCATTGGGCTTGCGCTAGCTTTGACTTTGCTGGTAGCTAGCGCACGGGAACAGGGCAGGCAAACATTAAAAACATCCACAAGATCGGCCTTTTTTTTTTTTTTTTTTTAAGTAGGCTGTTTAGTGGGATGGTTCTTCGCATAGCCCCTGCGGCTTTGGACTCAGATGTTGCTAACGCTGTTCCTTTCAATGATGATGATAATGCGCCCTCGCAGTTTCGGTTTGCGTAACAGTTTCAGCGCAGAAAATACTGCAGTACTGCCACGCGCTCTGATAAGACTTCAATTTTTATTTTTTATTGCTACATCTCATCTCGGCGCAGGCATGGCGCAATTCTTCGGTAAAATGACAATGTGGCGCTACATGTAGCAGGATTGCGTCCTTGGTGCAATTTGGCGCAATTGGCGCAGCACTTCCATCACTGCGTTCTTATTGGCTACGTTGCAATCTCATTGGCCGCAGATTGATATTAAAGTGCTTGAAACTTTCCAGGCTCCCGGTAACTATTACAGCGGAGCTGTTAAGGGCTGGTTTTCCCCAGGATTGTGTCCCCCGCAAAGAAATGTCGCCACAAAACTGGTTGCCGCCGTCGCTCATAGATGGCGGTAGCTGTCCAGAGGGTTGTGTTTGCCGGTTGTCCGCTTGCCGCCGTCGCACATAGATGGCGCAACCTTTCGAGCCTTTCCACTCTGGCTTGCCAACTTGCGGCCGGCGATAACTTCATTCCCACCATAGTACCAGCTTCGCTGGTCTTCCTTCTTCACCAAAGTGGAAAGGCTAAAAGTTTTTGTCAAGCAGCAAACCTAGACCAATTTGACTTCCTCAGCCAACCACGTCAACAATTTTAGCTCACCCGGGCCAACATTGCAGAAACAATAGTTTATATGTTAAAATTATGCATAGGTTATGTGCAGCTGCCAATACCGAGCAAACCACTTATAACGATAACGAGAAAACCCGAAATTCCAATCGTTATAACCGATTATCATTGTACTTGGACTAGTAACTGATCATCTCCAGTGTAGAAACTGATTGTTATAAGTGGTACATCATTACATGTGGTATCATTATAAATAGGTTGCACTATAGTTGGTTACCGTATTTATTCGAATATAGGTCGACCTTTTTTTTCCGGAAATGTTGTCAAAAATTAAGAGTCGACCTATAATCGTGACCAAAGAATTTCGACCTAATTCGCAACCAAAATTTGAAACCCTACCGAGGGTATGGAGCTATCAATCACCTAGCCGGCGTCCCGGTAGAGCCGCGCGGCTTGTTTCAAAAAGCTTTTGATGTACAAAAACAACTGAACAGCAGCAGCCGACAGCCCGTGTCTGCCCGCTACGGCTCTCGCGCACATTCCTTGGGCGTCGAGTTTCGCCATCACGCCTGTAGCGTTCCCCTCGCTGGGCAAGGGGGAAGAAGAGGGAGAGGAACGCGATGCGCCATGCACTTTGCACTTTGCCCTCCTATGCGCTCCATTCCTCTCTCCCTCGCAAACGCGCAAACAAACAAAAAAAAAAAAACCGAAAAAAAAAAAAAAAAAAAACGGAGGTACTTTAGTTTGTTTTTTATCGGCGGGTCGCGTGTTGCTCACGGGGCTGGCAGCGTTGCTCGTGTCTTTGTTTTATCTTTCGTCGCTTGCCCGTCTCCACCTTTCGTTTCTTCTTGTCATTCATTTTACAAGGTGTCAGTGAGGTATTGTTGCCAATTTGCGAGGATGTCTACCAAGCTGACGAAGCTTTTTTGACATCGCCCTGGGATTTAGTTGAGAGTGCTGTAAATAGAAGTTTGTTTCTTGTGCCCTAACTTTCCCCTGTTCCTTAAAAAAAAGGAAAAAAAAAAAAAGAAAGGTCGACCTATATTTGAATTATTTTTTTTTTTTTTTATTCTCGGTGGGCTCAATAAATAGGGGTCGACCTATTTTCGGGTAAATACGGTATGTTTATGCACTGCAAGCATGCATTGGACACAAACGCTTTGTCGGCATTCGGAGTGTACTCAGATCAAAACGCATTCCACACAAGTGCCGAGTCAGTGCTCGACGCATACTCTGAACCAGACTGAATCAACTAACGGCGGCTGCGCGTTATCTATGCATCGTTTCACCATTTCGGCAGAATCTATACTGTCGAGATTGGTTATAATGAAGTCGGTTTTAACGAAAAGGCAGCTACAGCGAAGCAATCACGAATTCCCACTCCCTTTTGCACTTCGTAAACCGAAATCGATTATAACAAAATAGCGGATATAGCGAAGTGATTACCGATTCCTGTTGACTTCGTTATAACCAATCTTGACAATACAGGGACGTTTGAGGAAAACGCACCCGGTCCGGACGCCGGGGCATGAGAGGGGCCATTGGTCGTGCCTGTGGACGAGACTGCTGCGGGCGGGGTCCACGTTGGTCTCCGCCCCTCGGTGGGAGGGGTTCCCCACCGAAGCGGCCAGAGGGTGTCGAGGGGGAGTGGCTGGTCGCGGGGGCGTGACTGGTCGGAGCTCCTCCCCCAAAGGGGGCCGGTGTCAGGCAGGTGAAGCCGGTAGAGGACAGAGGCGTCTGGTTCTTGCTCACCATGTTGGCATACGTCTTGGTCTCTACAGGTGCTGCAGCAGAGAACAACCACAACCAATATAACCTCGCAATGCGGGCTTTCGACGCGCAGAAAGCACCTGGTACAGATTTTAGTTGCAACAAAGAGGAAAAGTAAAACTTCAGACAGCCGTACTTGCACAAATTGAAGTATAACTTGTTGCAGACAGCGCTGTATGCTCCTGCAATTACCCACATGTGCAACCACATTGAATTTTTGCGCCAACTCGGGAAAAACGCGACTGTCGATACAAGCTTGGGTGAGTCAAGGCATATTGGGAAAACACTCTCGCAGCAGTTCACAATAGTTTACCCTATGCAGAAATCAATAGCTTTGATGCACCCAGGCTCTCTCTAGAAACCTATAAATCACTGCTACTACGGGACTGGAACTATTTACGGGCAGTTTCAATTTCTTCCCGTGTTGGAAAGCGTTCAATTGTACATTGTAGAAACACAATACTAGCCTTTTTACTTTCCCCCGTGAATACATCTTGTACTAAGGATCCTTCACTTTTGAGTTCTACATTTTACAATACTTGAGAAGCAAACAATAGGGATTTAAATTTTAAACAAAAATTCAGGGAGCAAATGGGTTTTTTCTGTTACAGTTTGATGACCCTGAAGATTTTACAGCAGAGCTGTTAAGGTCTAGTTTCCCGAGGATCCTGTCCCCCACAAAGAAATGTCGACGTAAATGGATGGATGGATGAATACGGCTGAGCCCTTTGGATCGGGCGGTAGCTTACGCCACCTAGCCACTCTGGACAGCTACCGCCATCTATGATCGACGGCGGCAACCAGACAAACAGCTTGCCGGCCTTGCTCATAGATGGCGGCAACCTTTCCAATCTGGTTTTCACCAGAGTGGAAAGGCTGAATTTCCCTAGGCATCGTCCTAGATGTCGTCCTCGAGGTCGCCCTAGACGTCGTCCTTCAGGTTGTCCTTCAGGTTGTCTGAGAGGTTGTCCTTGAAATCGTCCTTGAGTTCGCCGTAGACGTTGTCCTCGAGGTCGTCCTAAAAGTCGTCCTTGAGGTCGTCCTAGACTTTGACCCTGAGGTCGTCCTTCGTCCAAGAAGTCGTGCTTCAGGTCGTCCCTTCATAGTACAACTTCGCTGGTCTTCCTTCTTCACCGGAGTGGAAATGCTGGAAATTTTTAGCTACATATAGGCAAAAAGTTGTGATAAATTGCATAATTAAAATAAGAGCACCGACTTAACACAAGAGAAAAAACAATTTCATAATACGTTTCGCCTTCCATGCGGGAGGCATCTTCAGTAGTTACAAAGCAAATGCAAGGTTCAAAAACCACAGCCCTCTCCGCGAAGCTTATACGGACATTCTTGATAAATAGCATTGACTTGAGGTTGAACTTTGCATTTGCTTTGTAGTACTGAAGATGCCTCCTGCATGGAAGGCGAAACGTCTAATGAAATTGTTGTTTCTGTTGTGTCAAGTCGGTGTTCTTATTTTAATTATGACGTCTCCCGGCTTTGGAGTATTTTTGCAGTAATAAATTGCAGGCAAAAATTGCCTCCACAACATGATTTCATGCACAAGACAATTTCAAATGGCGTTTGAGGCAGTTTTTTTTTTCTGAATTGTTTACACGATAGTAATTTGCTTTGCTTGTTTTTAAAAGACATGCTCCAGGGAAAAACTTTTTTCATATTCATATTTGGAATAGCTTAATGAAAATTTCACTGTCTATAGGGTTGATCTCCTCTTTCTAAATCTTGTGTTAGTTTGGACATAGCTGCTTTTGGCAATGTTCTGCATGCAGTGCATATGTGAAATTAACTGCATCCTTTTGGACTTGAGGGGTATTGAAACAAGTATGAAAGAGCATTGTAAAATAGGTCAATTTGTTCCCTGGGAACCACTGATTGCAAGTAAAGACAAGAATAATGTGTATGAGATCTCCTTTATTTATGAAAAAAAATTGGAGATCACAAAAATGCCATGTTCAAAGGGCAGACAAATATTTTTTGCAACTTGTATAACTATAGTGACACACATTGCAACAGAACCTTGGCAGTTCCATTCTACACACTTCAAAGCATAAGCTTGTCAAATTTGGTTGGGATGGGACTATGTGAACTACAAAAATTCTTGCGCATAAACTTTGGAGATGACTCAAAACAACCAATGGAGAAAAACACAGTTGAATGTTGTCATAGAAAAACACAGTTGAATGTTGTCATGGGTACGCACTAGTAATATAAAAGCCTAGTTGACATGAAATTTGACCACAATTCATGCTAGGGCTTTGCTTTGCAGGACGGCACAGAAGTGTAGAATTGTGCTGTGCCAGATGTGGCTCCTTCACAGTCCATGCAAACGCTGCCTTGACATTCACGGCGTAACTGTCCCGGGAGCTGCCGTTTACTCTCTCGCCACACGGCTCCCCACTGACAACCTCGGCCACAGAGGCTTGCCTCGAAAAATAGATAGACAAAGAAACGGATATAGGGCACGCGTCTTTCTGGCAGCACAGCTCCAGAAAAGATGCCAGTCCCTTTCGCTTAGCGGCCGATTCCTGGACGGCGAGTTTGCACTTTCCGCAAGTCGAATATGCTGCGCCCTTGACAAAAGCTTTCGTTGCGCCAATCTCGCAGTTCAAAGTACTTGCACGCTCCCCCCATCTCCAGCTCTCTCTCAGTTCTAAACATCCTGATATTCTCTTCCGATGCACTAACGAACTAGTAAGCGCTGACAATGAAACTCGAGCGATCGCTCTGAAGCATCGCTCCGACAGAAATTAGGGTTAACAGCCCTGGATGAACTTTTCTTCCTTGATGCTTTCCGCTTGCCCTTTTGGCGACTTCCCTTGAACTTGTGTGTCGTCCGAAATTTCTAAGCTCAAAAGTCGCGTTTGCGGTCGAAGTCCATTGCGAAGAGAGCAGAATGATTGACCAAGTTGTTTGTTCTGGTTTCAGGAGCAGTGTGACGTTAAAACAGCAAGCAAGCTTCACTATGCAGCATGTTGCCCTTGGTCAATGGCGGGGGCATAATCGCATCACGTGGTTTGAAAGGCCAGCGGCAACGCGTTAGCAGTGGGAAAATTTTTTTTTATTATTTACAACCATAATATGAACCTATCGACAACCGTTTTGGAGTGAAAACAGCCAGGCCTACGCGCCGAAACAAACGCGATGACGGGCAACACTACAATCCCAAAAAATCAAGCGATCGAAATTGGCTCAGATTTGCGCCGTTTTTCATCGCAAGAAGGGCTTCAAACTCATATCTGACCAATTTCGCGGGGATATCCGGTCTTGACTTTATACGCGAAAAACGAAGGTTCAAAGATAGTAAAGCATTAAAAAATGGAAAATTAACTTTTTTCTAACAGAAATCACAGTTGTTCGACTTGAATCACCCCTTAACCCTTACCGATCCAAGATGCTTCATACTGCATATCCTTCAGACACCTGGCAGTCGCTTGCACAATCTGACACGAGCGAGCAGAAGCATAAGACTCGGGCATTCTCAGAGGACGTTCGTCGACAGCGGCCAAGCAGGAGCATGGCCTCGGGCGCAAATTACCTCATCACAGAAGTGCCCCGCCACTGTCTGCCACAGGTGAGGAACGAACCTTGGAAGGCAGACACACGTAGAAAAGTGAAGCTTAAGGGGGGACACTGGCTAGAGGTCGAACTTTTGAACTACTCGAGAGATCGGAATGAAATTTGCAGGGAAGATTTAGCTTCAGATGTAGGTGTACTGTGCAAACTTTCAGCTCTCTAGGGCAAATTTACATACCTCCATAAGGTGATGTGTCACTCTTCATTAAGAAATCTATGATATGCAAATGAAGCTATTAAGCACCGTTTTGACCGGTTGAATATAAAGTGGGGAATACGGGACCTCGGGCTATCTAGTTTTAATAACTTAAATGTAAAAATTTTAGGAAAAGTTGTTACCTCAAACTGTGAGATGCATATCTGTTCTATGTCAATTTTTGAAAACTTAGTTTTTTATCACTGAGGACTTCAACTTAAAACCAAATAAAGTAGATAGCCCGATTCCCCAGTAAATTTCAGTTCAGAAACATGTTGATTGTGGTATTAGAATACTTTCATCTTCGAACAAAAGATTCCTTCGTATGAAATTTGCAGCAAAAAGTGGAACTGAGAAAAATGCATTCAAACATTGAACTCCTTTGCTTTGTTACTGCCTCACAATGTGTTGAAAATATTTTATATCAATGTAAATATTTGGCATATGGTTATCAAATTTGGTGTAAGGGTGTATAATTAGTTTCTAAAACTAAACACATCAAAATTGAAAAATGAATTTTTTCAAAAAAATGTAAAATTTAGGCCCATGTCCCCCCTTAACACAGTGCTAGCATAACTACAAACAATCAAAACCATTTTTTTTTTTTTTTTTATGTTTTGCAAAAGAATTTTAGTGACAGCTGAGGTCCAGTTCTTATGATGTCGCGCCCTCCGACCCCCAACCCCCACGCACCCTGGTGGTTGACTTGCGGGGCAGACACGGTGGCGGGCCGGGCGGGCTCTTCTTCCTTCCAGCCGAGGGGGGCAGAGACCGGGGGGTTTCCTCCGGCCTGGGACGCTTCGGGGGGGCTGCCCTGCAGGCTGTCGGCCGGCCCAGACCCCTGGGACGACAGGTCGCTCTCCGAGACCAGGTGAGACGTCCCGTTGCGCACCACCTCCTGCAGAAAAGGACCACCCGTGGCAACTCGTGAGTGAGAGGAGTTTTCATTTGGAGGAAGAGATACTATATGCAGTTGGTAGAAAGGTTAGACGAAGCGCACTGGCGTCGTCCTCCCACAAAAGATATCTTTCGCACGAAAAATATGGGATGGCGGGTGGAAATCTCCCGCCACCTTTCCAATAGTTCAGACACGTTTATCACGAGAGCCCTGTACCCACTTACTATGACCCCACTTGAAACAAGCTTTCCATTAATACAGTCCAAGCTCGTTATAACAGACCTTGATTATGACCAAGATTTTGGTCTTTTGTAAAAGGAGTATGTTGTATGCAGATATGAAGTTGAGTCAATGGTACATAGAGGAAAACCAACTGAACTTCACATATCGGTATATTATATCCAAATGTCTGTTGTAACCAGGTCTGTTGTAATGAGCTTAGACTGTAGGACCAATTTTTCGTCGTCCAATGTATGTTGAGAGGACCCTATGGAAAACTGCCCACTATTAACGGCCACTTCCCCACACTATTGTCTATCACAACGAGCAAAACTAACGATGGCACCGACTACTGCACCGCAATCGGCGCTGCCGGCAGCTACAGAGACCAGAGAAATGCACGACCGGCGCTTTGGGGATAGAAAGCCCGACGCACGGGTGAGGAGATGGCCGGGGCCGCCGGGACCTGAAGAGTTCTCTCAAAATGGTCCACAATCTCGGGCAACTCAAGGTAAGCTCAGCTGGGCTGGGTATCCTCAGACGGCATTTGTCAACACCGGCAGAGCAGGTCATGTGGAACGACAGGCATGAAGTCCAACCTGCAATGCCTCAGGCGCAAATTACCTCATCATGGGAATGCCTCGGCCCCTACCGCAAGATTTTTATTGGAGGATCGGGACAGAAAATATTGCATATTGCCACATACAGGTAGACTCTGAAAATAGGTGTAAACTTCCCCAAATTCTGAAAAATTGAGAAAATACTTTGTTGATATTTTTTTTTTCTTTTCATATTCATTTTTAATATTTTAATTTGAGATATTCATTTGTGAAAAGCTCAACTTATATGCAACAATATACCAATATGCTCCAACCACCACTCCAAACTTCTGCCTTACAAATATTCCAGCTCTGGTATCGAGTGAAGTGACCTCCGGACCAAATAAAATCAGAATTAACAATAGCCACATGCTTTTTTTAATTTCCATAAACTAACTGGGAGTGGATGTTTTCTTCAATGCAAAAACACAGGAAATTATCACATTTGCTACGCTCTGTTTCAGCATAAATGAGAGCATGCTTCTTTAAAAAGCGCTTTCACTGCAGAGACCTATGTTCATAGTACGAGTAATGGGGGGTATTCATTGGGCACCATATTTGGGGGTGATGCTTAAGAGCGCATGATTGGAACGAGCTAGCACTAACAGGCTTCTAAGACCGGCAATCTTAATGGTTCGGAATGCACGTTGCAAAGGAACTGTGGAAGCTCACCGCCAGCACGTGCTTACCAGTTGTGCACACAGTTATGGCTGCAAATAAATACTCCTTAGAAAAGCAAGGCACTCACTCTTGCAACTTTCGCTTTACCAATGGTGCTACTAAAAAGGATTGTAAGTATAACCGGGAATGTATTAACGAGGTTCTGTGGCACAACACCACTAGACGTAAACCACAGATGGCAAGATGTCGCCTTCCAAACTATGATGCCTGCAACATGCCTTCGACTGGCTAAAGCTGCCCAAAAGTGGCAACAATTTATAGCAGAAGCTGGCATGTCATGCTGCCGGCTGTCATGATCCCAGCGGTCGGTCGTGAAAATGCCGACAAAAAAGACAAGCAGACGCAACGTCGCCGCAGCGTGCCACTTCGCGTCTGCTTCGATTGCAGTCTGCACACCGACCGCGCAGCGACCCACGGCAGAACTTCAGAAGCTCGTAAAGGCTAGTCTCAGTCACAGCAACCTAAATGTGGGGGTATAAATTGCACCATGTCCAAAGGCCTTCAAGAACGGATCTTGCAAGGGCACTGTCTCATTTGCATTCCAACTTGCCCGAGCCAGGACCAGGTGGATACGAAATATTCTAGCCCCTCCCACCACTGCGGCACTGCCGGGATTGCAGAGGGTAATGGCGCAACTCTTCCAAGTCGTGTGGGGCGAGAAATTGAGGAGCCACTGTTGAGAACACAGCGAACACATTAATCGAAGATGCACACCGGGCACCCGGAGCTCTCCCCGCAGCAGGCAGCGGCAGTGGTTTTTATTGCCTGGCAGTCTGGCTGGCTGCCACTCTCTACTATGTCCAACCCACCTCTCCTTGCTTCCACCGAACAAGATGCACCACAATGTCATGTCTGGGCACACTTACATACCTGCCAACCTAGCAAAATAAAAATTTGGGAGACCGCCGCACGCGGGGAGGGGTGAAACTTTTTTTTTTTTTTTTTTTGACAAGAAACTTTGTGAAGAGGCACTCTGCGCGAATCACGCCGTTTTCGCAGTTGTTTTGGAGTAAACTGCCGGTGGGGCCCTGCTTTTCTACATCACGAGCATGGTTCTGATGCTTTCGTGAAGCAATGTGTATCTTGATGTCAAGCTCGCCGCCGTGTGAAACGCTCACACATCACAGGCACACGCACATGGTACAGAATCCATACTTGTCAGCTATCCGCAAAGCAACAAAGCATGGAAAGTCAGTCGCGTATGATCTCAGAAATACTTGCAAGTACTTCTTGGCTTTTGAAAGTGCCGTCGATCGTCCCAACAGATCAGTGGTTCCAACTAAACTCAGGGAAACACAAAGAGTAGTTCGGCGTTCCGCACCTCACTCGATGACCTGACAAAGCCAACTGAAGCCTACGCACCCATGGTCATATAAGCCGTGTTCCAAAATGGGCTCTAACTTCAGGAGTAGAGGTTTCGTACCTTGGCGTTTGAAAATCTACCCTCATTTTACGCTACTGCTCCGAGTTGTCACGTGTTAACCCGCCGGAGTAACCTAAACATACTCTCGAGTAACTCGCAATGACATACGCGTCATGATTATAGCAATAAAGCGTCATATAAAAAAAAAAACTACGGTGGATACTTTTTGGGAGATTTGAGGTCGCGTCCATACAATCGAGAGATGTGATCAAAATTTGGGAGGCTCCCGGACAATTCGGGAGAGTTGGCAGGTATGCACTTATGTGGCACTACGTAACAAAACTGCAAAACCCCTGTAAAAAAAAGAATTGCCCCTGCAGTGGCAGAGGATGTGCCAAGAATACCGAAAGTTGCGACAATTGCCCCCTCCTCAAAACACTGGAAATTGTTGGGTGTCCGCATTTCGAAAACTTCTGGGGAAAACCCTGCAGGCGCTGCACCCAAACAGAGCTTACCTGCTGCTCGTAGTAAGCGTTGGCGGTCGGCCCGGTGCCAGCGCCCGCCGAGGGGGAGGCCGGGTTGGCGCCGTTGCCGACATCTCCCGGCACGGCGGCCTCCTGGGCAACGGGTACGCCGGACGTGGCCCCCGAGGGGTCCGAGGGGGTCGCGGGGCTGACGGGGGTGCCCTCCTTTCCGGCCACTTGCTGGTGGCCCATCTCCCCTGGCTGGGGGTCCTCCTCTTCCTCCTCCTCCGTGAAAACCTCGTCCTGGTAGCGGAAGATGTCGTTGCGCACGTAGTACTTCAAGGGGGACTGGGGCGCCAGCACAAACGTCTGCATGAAGCGCCGCATCGGCTGGCCCCCGTTGGACAGCTCGCCCGTCACCTGCGGCCGAGAGCAATAGGAGGGTTCGACGGAACGCCAAGGGCTGCACGGTTGACTTTGCGGGGTGTTGCAGGGTAGTTCCCCCCCTCCCCCGAAAAAATGATGAGCCATTCCACTCTGTGAAGGTGGGTGACCAGCGAAGGTGTTTAGCACACGACACAGACGTGAGAGAGAATTTTGAACAACGGTACAAACACATTTATTGTCTTGGTCGGTGATCATGTTTTTTCGTGTTTTTTCCGGTTTTCCCATGGTTCTTCCCTCTTCCGGTTCTCTGTGTTTCGCACCAGTTTTGCTCTGGATTGCCGTGCATCAGCGCGCTAACTCTCCTGGCATGGAAACGGCAGAAGCATAGCTGCAGAAAAAGAGTAGCACAGGTGACCGACAACCGGAGCGGCAAAATCGCGACATGCGGTGCTATTGTTCCCGAGCGCGCCGACAGCGAGAGTGACAGTCACGTTCGTGCCTCTATGCGGGGTGGCCAGCAGAAAGCATACCATCCTAAAGCCCGCCATTTTAAGGCGAGACGCGGGTCTTAAAATGGTAAAAAATCGCAAAATTTGGGGTTTTTCAAAAATCACATGTTTGGATAGAATATAGTCTGAAGTACCTGCCTGCGAAGTTTCAATGTCCTATTCGACGTCTAAGTATAAAAAAAAACGATAAATACGATGCCTCCGCGACGCTCAAATCGCGAATCCAACGCAAAAAAATAGTCAAACTGCGCGCCCGCGTCGCTTCACGACCGATCGTCGGATCGCGGCCATCTTGGTCTTGTTGGGGAGCTGGTTCTCTTCCCTACGTCCTCATCCCACTCACTATCGCGACAACCTTGGAGAGCGTCCGCATTCCGCGGGTTTTCACGACCGGAATAACGATTGCTCATTGGCCCGCGCGCGTACGTCACGGGTACGTCGTGCCGCGCGCGCCTGTCATAGGCCAAGACGCGCCCCTTTCCACTTTTGCTCCTTTCCTCCTCTTGGCGCGCGCGCCTCCAGCAGCGCAAGGGGAGCGTGGAGAAGCGTCGTCTGCTTCGTTTTGGCCCGTCGCTTTGTTCGTTCCGCGGCTGAGTGCACGTTGTTTCGAAATCGTTTACGTTCGCGCGTTCGCGTCGGACATCGTTGGTTTCTCGCTACGAAGTTGCGGGAGTTTTATTTCGAGCGATCGAGATGCCGGGGTACTCTCGATTGAAAGAGAGTACGCGGCGGACGTTCGGGAGGAAGACGCGACGTGCGTGGAACAAGCGGAAGACATCACCTGCAAGTGCGCCGCTACGATCTGCGCCACTGCCGAACGCATTGGATCTGCCGGGACCATCGGCTAGCCTTCCCGTTGACGATGCTGCGGCCTCAAGCTCTGGTCCGGATGGCTCAAGTTTTGCCGGCACCACTCGCGTCGACTCTACCTACTACTCTACGGCCGAGCAAGCGCAGCGCGCCGAGCGATCGGAGCAAAGCAAGCGCGTTTTATCGGAGAAGTCGGCGACCCAGCGGACGTTCGATCTGCTTGAAGTCAACGGATCATGCCAAACAAGCGATGCCGGGACCCAGTTTGTCATCGTCGACATGAAAGTCCTCAACGACCTCTTCGCGCACGCGAGGTGTGGAAGCTGCGGTGTGGGATCTCTCACGCTCAGCAAGGCCGCGGACAAGGAGTACGGCTTGGCCGTCAAGCTTGTGCTCGTCTGCAGCACTTGCGACTTCCAGAAGAAGCAGTTCTCCTCTCCCAGGGTTGCTGGAACAGCAAAGATCACTCCCTTTGAAGTGAACATGAGGGCCATGAAGGGGATCCAGTCCATTGGCAAAGGAGTGACAGCCTTGGCAGACTTCTGTGCCTCCATGAACATTTCTCATCGGGGCCTGCACCACAAGACGTACCAGGGACACCTGAAAACGCTTGTGCGGGCATGTGAGAATGCAGCAACCGACAGTGAAGCCGCCAGTGTTGCTGTCGTCAAGGGGCTCTACACAGGCTTTATGAACCCCATTGGCAACATCGATGTCATCTTCGACGGATCATGGATGACCCGAGGACGCAGCTCCCACATTGGTGTAGGCTGCATTGTGGAGTTGTACTCTGGCCTCGTCATCGACCATGTTGTGTACTCCAACTTCTGCCTTGGATGTGCCTTGGGACCGAAGCCCGAGGACGATGGCTACAGCGACTGGTACGCAACCCACGACTGCCAGAGGAACATTGACTGCAATGCTGGCCGTATGGAGGTGGAGGCTGCGCTCACAATGTTCCAGAGGTCTCTGACCAAGCATGGTCTCCGCTACACCACCGTCCTTTCGGATGGGGACAGCCGGACATTCCATGCCTTGTCTGAAGCGAAGGTTTACGGCTTCATCAAGATAGAGAAGAAGGACTGCGTGAACCACGTCCACAAGCGGATGGGAGCTGCCTTGCGCAACGTTGTTGAGAAGAAGAAGGCACAAGGCGAGTCACTTGGTGGGAGAGGAAAGCTGACACAGGAAAAGATCAAGAAGATCACTAACTATTACGGCTATGCTCTCAGGAGCAACAGCCATGACGTTCCAGGGATGAAGAGGGCGGTGGAAGCCACACTCCTGCACATGACCTCCACAGACGGCGCCCCAGACCACAGCAAGTGCCCCGAGGGAGCGGAGTCCTGGTGCAAGTACAACAGGGCCTTGGCAAACAGTGAGCCTCCGCCGCCGCACAAGAATCCTCTTCCGGATTGTGTTCGGGCTGCGCTGGAGCCAGTGTTTGAAAAGCTCAGCAATGAAGACCTGTTGGCACGGTGTAGTGAGGGAAAGACGCAGAATGCCAGTGAGAGCCTGCATTCGGTGATCTGGACGCAGACTTCAAAGAATGCGAATGCCTCCCTGGACAGCGTGAAGAGGGCTGCGGCTGAAGCTGTTGCTGTCTACAACCAGGGAAGGAGAGCGACCAACGAGTCCATTGCTGCAGGCCTGGGCTACGCCACCGGTGACTGCCTTGTCCGCCGAAGCATCGAAAAGGACAGTCTCCGTTTACGTAAAGCAAACGCGGTGCACCAGAGCAGCAGTAGCGTGAAGGAAAGGTTCTCCAAGTGACACCAGGCAGGAGCATCACGAGATTACAGCCCAGGACAGCTGTAATGGCTTTTTCCAGTGCCATGTGGAACAAAGGCCCTTTTCAGGGCCAAACAAAATTACGTTTGGAGCTTGAAACTCTTGCTCGCCTCTCCCGTTGTCCAAAGTTGTCGGCTCATCACTTTAGAAGCAATTTTTAGCCTATATCAGTAATTCTTCACCATTTTTGCAATCTTCTCAAAAACAAATTATTGCAATTTTTAAAATTATTTGTTCAGAATGCACTACACTACATCTTGATAACTATTATTGCATAAGGGTTTTCACATAATTTATTGTAGTCAGCGTCGAAACAGGAAAATGTGATTTTTATCAACATTTCACTCGTTCTTTACTTCGTTCATATTTTTTTCCTAATGTTCCCATAAATGGATTACATCATCTTTTATGTCAAGTTGTTCATGAAGACTTACACTACACCTTGGTGGCAATTATTATTTATCATTGTTCACACAATTTTCTATGTTCAATGTCAAAACTTTAACTTTGATTTTCTCATCTTCATGTTTTTTGTCAACATGCTTAGCCTTACGGGGGTTTTCATGAGGTTTTTATCGTAGCATTTTGAAACTTTTTATACCGTTTTATTCAGAAAGGACTGGACTATGGAGTAAAGCTATTTTTTTGCAGTTTATAATGACGACGAAAATTTTATGATAAATAATGCGACCTCATTAGTGTCATAATTAGCATAATTAGTACATTTTTGTATTATAATGTAATTATGTGAAAATATAAATAGCTTTATAATGCATGGCAGACCTTTAGCTATGCATCTACATCAATAAAAAAAATATTTTTGTTCGAAATGGCCTTAACGACCCGTAAGAAATTAACCAAATTAGGCAACACTATTTTTTATAACTTGAAAACTAATTGAGATATTTTGAAACTGATTTCATATTTGAAGTGAGGAAGAAGGAACACATATGCACAGTGATTTTCATTAGTATAGCTGCAAAAATAAAATAGTCCATTTTAGAACCAGTGTCTCGCCTTAACAGCTATCTTATCCCTCAATGTTTCGCTGGTCACCCCCGCGATAAAACATGCGACATGACTGGCACTCTCGTTATCGGCGCGCTCGGGGAAAAATAGCGCCGGGTGTCGCGATTTTGCCGCTCCGATCATCGGTCAGTTATGCTACTTGTTTTCCGTTGCAGCTGTACCAGGCCATAAATTTATCAACGAAAGTGGAAATACTGAGGGACTTGAAGGACGGCGTCTCTCAACAACAAGTGATGGAAAGTTACGACGTCAAGAAAAGCACTTTGGCCGCGTACGTGAAAATTGAGGCAGAGATCCTACAGGCTTTCGAGAGCGAGAAGTTACTAGCGAAAAGAAAGCGGCTGTGGAAGGTGGTTAACCCGAAACTAGATGAGGCGTTGCTGTGCTAAATCGTCAGCGCATGGGATGCGTAGCTCTGAAAGTGCGAGTGGGGTGGAGCACTCGACCGCACAAAGGAAAGTTGCCGTCTCCGCCCAAATGTCATTGAGAAAGCAGGCGGCAATAACAGATTTCTTCTCAAACTAAAGGTATGTCATAAAGAAACATTTTTGCACTGTTTTCTTTGTCCTTTCAATATTTCGGACATTTTTGCCGGTCCCATGAGATCCGAATTAACGAAGTTTTACTGTATGTGGAGAGGACGGGGGCACTTTCAGGACGAGTTAGTGACAAGTCTGGAGTAATGGCGTTTAACGACAAAAAGAGGGAACCCCTCAGGTTACAAGACATTGTAATAGACCAGAAAGAAAAATACAAATATCTGGAGGCCTGGCTTAATTAATAAGGGAAGGAAATATCTAGTAAATTAGAAAAGGGAAATTTTTTTATCTATTATGAAACTCAAGGGACTATGGAACTATACCTGAGCTATATCATACTGATGATACCAATGTCTTTTTCAAGTGGAAATCTGAATCAGCTAGAGGAATTTGCAAATAGTCGACTCAGTAAATTATTATTGTGGCTAAAGTGCAACCAGCTTAATCTTAACACTAGTAAAACAAAATATGTACTGTTCAGATAAAAACCAGCCCATTTCACATACACATTGAACGTCTTTTTTTGACAATAAAAAAAAATTAAAAACGTTAAATATCAAGTTTTTGGCGTGTGGTTCGATGAAACACTCAGTTAAACTGTACACATGAAAAAATGAGGGTGGATATTTCAAAAGCAATAGGAATACGAAACAAATTGCGACATTTACCGTATTTACTCACATAATACACTTTTTTTTCCAAAAACTTTACACATATTTGGGGGGGGGGGGGGGGGGGGGGGGGGGTGCATTACACGGGGTAAAACTTTTGCATTTACACTTTACGCGAATATCATTTTATGTGCCAATATCACATGGCTGTGGCACGTCTCCACAGACAGAGGCGTACCCATGGCTAGTCGTGGGTGCACCACAGTAA